ACTCCGCAGCAATTAGCTGGTTGGCTGTGGCATCCCCGTAGCCAATGCCTCCTCCATGGCTTGTTCGTCAGGGCCGTGGGGACGAACAGATCTGGGAAAACCCCCTAGAGTGGCTTGCGTCTCGCTGCAGTAGCCCGTTTGTTGCAGGGTTTGACAATGGATCCTGCGCTGAGAGCCTGGGATGGGATGGGATAGGATGCTGGGATCCAATGTAAGAGGAGAACAGTGGAAACGCCGTCGGCTGAGGGTGGGAAGAGGCACAGGTAGATCTCCCGGACTTCCTGGCTCCTTCCATCCTATACTAAATCTACCTATCAACCCGCTCTTTCCTTCTTTCCTCATATCGATGACACCTGCCTCGCAGCTGCCACTCAGTTCCCGTTCCTGCTCCTTCCCTCTCTCACTCACTCTACATCCCTCGAGGTGATCTTCCAAATTTCTATTCCACATATCAATTGTTTCTTGTTTCACACCCTCCCTCTTTAACTCTCAAACATTCATTTTGTGAGACTCCCTTCGGCCATTCCAATCTCAGCTCAGTGGTTCTAATCATCTACCAGCGTTTCTTACACACATCGAGAATGCTTCATGCCTAAAGATTCTTAGTCGCGCTCCCTTTCATCACCCTTGACCTCGCCTTCAACATTCCTTTGAGTTCGATCCCTTACTTTACGCCTGCCTCGCGCATTTCCGTTCCATTTTCTGCCAACAGATCGTCCGGGACAGTGGCGCCTTATCCACCATGACTACCGATAAACAGCTTCTCGGAAGCATTGTCGCCTTTGAAGGCCATGCCGAAACTATATCAACACAACTGAGACTCCTACCGACATCGCCCCAAATTCTCATTCTCCCAAACATTCAGAGCTATGTCTCAAACGAAGGCATGGATGAAAGATTCGATGCTCGCCTCTATGTCAAAAGCATACATGAAGCCGTCGCTGCTCGACATGAAGTTGCTCAAAACTTCCTCCAAGGGTCCACATCTAACAGCAAGCGACTCGTCTTCATGAGCGGCGGCACTCCAGGCGCGCAAACTCTCTGCATCAAGGCAATCATGGAGAATGAAACAGATGGCGACTACAACCGCGCGGAGTCCATCTTCAACCATCTGGTCAAGGAGGGTGTCGCTGGGCTGGAAAACCCAGCTAGGGACTGGCGAAGACGAAACACATTCGAGTATTTTGGCGAGCAAGAGTTCGACGAGGAATTCGAGGACCCCATAACACGGGCGATGCGAGCCGCCGACGCCTTGGACCGCCAGACTGCCAGCCTTCAGCCAACTAACGAGCTTGATCTGACGACTGCGACACGCCCTCGGAGCAACAGTCTGCCGCTGTATGGATACGCCGATAACTTCGGAGACGCGGCACCTTTCTTCGTGTTTGGCACTCAGGACCAGGAAGAGACCGAGAGTGTGATTGACGAGGTTGTAGATGAGATCTACTCTCCTCGGGCTTCCATGTTTGCCGTCACACACTACGACAAGCCCGCTGATCCTCTCTATCCTGGATTCACCAATCTTCAGCCACCTTCACCAAGGAACTCATTCCCTCGACCCCCAAGTTGCATTGGAGAGTCCTATGGTTCCATGGCCGTTCCTCAAGCCCTCGGCCCCGAGGTCTTCACTCCACGGTCCGACGTGTTCAGCATCCGTTCCACAGATAATGTCGTGTATGGAGAGGCTTCACTGCTGGACATGCGACTTTCGGGCCGCAGAGCTACACTGACACGAGTCAAGTCTCTGGACCGTATATACCCCGCCACTCCCAAGTACCGGGACCTCTGTGTTCCTGCCGACGCAGCAGAGCTTGCACGAGAGTCTGAGCGTGATCTCGAGCAACAGGCGCCCTCTGAGGCCCGCCGGCATTCCTGCATGGTCATTACAAGTGCAAAGGACTCGCGGCCAAGCAGACTCAGCTACATCGAGGGACCTAGGACTATTGTCGTAAGGTCTAACCGCCCAACCGTCAAGGTTGCACCGGTCCCTTCGGAAAAGAAGCGAAAACCTGCAAGAGCATCATACGTCGACAGAGGAACCGATGCCGAGGAGATTCCGGAGCCAAATGAGCCTTTCAAGCCTGTTCTGCCCTTCCTGGAGGATCTCGTGGTGCATTTCAAGGATGAGGTACCAGATGCTCTTCTTGAGTCTGTTGTTGGCGGGTTCAAAGCTGGCAACTATCCTGTCATGTGTCACTCGTCATCCGCTTCCGAAACCGACGAAGTCAGTGCCTCTGTCCCAGGGACACCTGAATCTCAGTCGATCAAGGACCTGGACTGTACAGACGACGATTACCACGAGCCTGCCGTTGTCGCTCGAAGCAGTTACACAGACGAGTACGACCCGTTTGCCTATGTGCAACCCACCTGGCCTCAGGCGAAGCCACGGCAGACAGTACCCAGGGTACAAGTCGAGCGACCACCTACGCCTGCCCAAACACCTCCGCCCTTGGTTTCGGAGGCAGATGAGAAGATTCGCGAGTTCAGAATCAGTAGCCAGCAAACAGCTGTTACCATCCAGAACTCCCTACGCTCTATTCTCAAGGATCACTTCCCCCCTGAGACCCAGGGCTACCGTCAATTTCAGTTCCCCCTTCTCCCAGAACTAGAGGGACTCTGGAGGCCCATTTTCCGAGAGACCGACTCAGATGGGACTCGTGAGACCGGTCGCCGAGTGGACCAGATCCTGGCTATCGGTGCTCAGCGCGGCGTGAAGAAGACCTATGCCTCAGCTATCACGGGGCAACTAGAGAAGCTGGGGACCAAGCCTAGTGGTATGAGCCGGAGTGGAAGGCTCGATTTCAGGTATGCCATCAGCCTCAAATTCAAGGAAGTTCAAGACTTACAATCAACAGATATCTCCTCGCTACTGCAATGCAAGCATACACTGCTCAGCCTCTGACCAGCCAGACACACGATAACCCTTTCGCCAACTCTTATCTTCTTGCCACACTCATCATTCCCCATCTGGAGACATACCTTGCCTTGCATACAGAGGTGCGGTACCTTCTTCTTGAGTACCCTCCGGAACACCTTCCGACTATGCTGGCTCTCCAGAAGCTTGTTGGTGTCGACATGATGAAGGTGGCACAAATCGTCGATGCCAACAGCAAAGAAACACTTCCATTCACTCACCTGCGGGGGACAACACCCATCAACGGCCCGGAGCAGGGACCCGTCGGCCGTTTTGGAACGTCCCTCTCACCAACATCTGGACCTTGCTATGATGTGACAGTCTCCAAGGCCAACTTTCTACTTACCTCGACCGCAAGCGACGCAGAGATCGCAACATTCATTTCTACTGTTTTGAAGATTCTTTCTGATATTTCATCATTCTACACTCCTGAGGAGGCACCAAAGAAGCCATCGCCAAAGAAGTCGAAGCCGCCCTCTCTCACAGGAACCTTTTCACCCTTCCCTCGGGTGTCATCAGGACCACAGAGCCCACCAATGTCGCCAGCTCTTGCGGCCAGATTTGGAGCGGGTCTTTCGGGGTCGTCTGCTCTATCTAGCCGGGCTCCTTCTATCGCCGAGACAGTCAAGACAGTCAAGACAGTGAAATCGGTAAAGAGCAAGCTGAGCCGGGGTAAATCGAGACGGAAACCCTCCAACGCCGATGCTCAGTCCATTCTCACCGTGTACCTCGACGACAGCGATTGGGATCAGGAAGACCGAAGAATCATGCCTATCTTGTCCAAGAAACCAGACATTCGAAAAGGGAACAGTCGCAAGGCGCTGAAGATGCTTGGTCTGGCATGAGCATTTGGGAATGTGGATGATTCTGGCTATGTTGGATTTGATGACGTGGCCATCATGACGTTACGATCTTTTGTACTGCTCAGCCGTGGCATTTCCTTTTTTGTCATTTGTTGATTGTAATGAGGTTCTATAATACCCCGGGATGAGTCAAGGGAGGATAAAAGCAGACATTCGTTATGAATCAAAGTAATCCTAGTTGTTCATTCCATTGTTTCAGTGTGCATGATTAGACATGGAGGCCCCTTTGCTATTTGGATGGAGCATGAGACTCAGGAGGTCCCTCGCTTGGCCCTGTCAACATTCACCGACAGTTGTTGATTCAGGGGTATTTGTGTCAGATCCACGGGCTTTTTAACGAGGACTGAGTGTTGAAACCTAGCTATGTGCTCCAAAGGAGTCAAGCTGATTATCCTTGTCAGCATGGGTTGAGCCTTATGGAAATGTATACTCCTATAACCGCATGAGATATAGGCAGGCCAAGTGTCAGTCGTTGTTCAGCACACACCTCAAAGATGGCATCACTCCCATATATCCCTGGGAGTTGCATACCAGAGAGAAGTCTTGGAGCAAAGTCTAAAAGAAGAGAATATTCCGCCTTTATTAAGAATACTCCATTCTCGCATACACTAAGGATAACAAGAATTCTCGTGGGGACAAGTCAGATCAGAAAAAGAACCAGCAAGGCGAACCAGGATGAAAAAGAAATAAAAGCAAAAAACCACGTAAACGATCGATATCAGAACCAAAGCAAAAGCACGATTAAGCACGGAGCGCAGCGTTTCCCCCCCCCCCCCCCCCTCTTTCCCTTCTCCCCATGGATCTTGACGTCTGAGAGGCAGCTCAAGGGTTTTGCAGAACCGAAATGGCAAAGACGGATGAGCTGGACGGACAGGGCTCCCGATGGTGAGGACAGCTTCGGTGATAGAGGCAAAAGATGTCTCCCAATGTTCGAGTTTCGCAAATAGAGAACAACAAGAACATGAAGAGAAAAGAGAGAGAAAACACTCGCGCACGCGCAAAACCCCCCAAGCCATCCGCCGTTGGAAAATCTGCCGTCATATTTGTCGTTTCCCCCCCTCAGACTCCGGTCCTCATTGCGCTCCTCCCATTCCGTCATGATCCCCCATCCGTTCAAAGGTCATCAAAGGGCCGGTTTACCGTTCTTCCAAATGCCAAAGGGGGGTTGGGTGCTAGGGAGGGATGTCGTGATTTGCGGGGATGAAGAGCGAGATCCAAGTGATCATGATTTGGTCTATGCGTGCGCAGGCAGAAATGGGGGAGAGCAAGGGGGAAAAAGCAAACATCGTGATTCAACCCATCCGGTCATGTCCCTAGCATATTGCATTGCATTGCGTTGCCCTGTGTCCCGGCCGTACTCCGTCATCCTGCTTCGCCCCAGAAAAAAGAGAGCATCAGAGCATTTAGCAGCAGCCGTTGTTGTTGTTGTTGCCGACGCCCTGGCCCTGGCCGACTTGCACGCTGGGTTTGGTGTTGTTCGCCGTCGTGGTGCCCATGCGCTCCTTGATCTGGCGGGCCATGGTCAGGAAGGCCTGCTCGACGTTGCTGGCGTTCTTGGCCGAGGTCTCGAGGAAGGGGATGCCCAGGCTGTCGGCGAACTCCTACAGAGGGGGTTAGTCGCCCATGATACATGCAGTAGCGGATATCGAAGCCGAGGGATTGGCGGGCGGCTTGGATACAGGGGCACTTGGGCGCTCAGGCGCAAAAGTGCATGTGACCGTGGCCGGCCAGGCTACGATATTCCAGATGCGGATCAACTTACCTTGGCCACGCTGTACTCGACGACCTTCTTGTCCGACATATCGCTCTTGTTGCCGACCAGCAGCTTGTTGACGCCCTCGGTGGCGTATCGGTCAATCTCCTGGAGCCATTGCTTGACGTTGTTAAACGAGTCCATGTCGGTGACATCGTAGACGACGCAGATGCCGTGGGCGCCACGGTAGTAGGAGGAGGTGATGGTTCGGAATCGCTCTTGGCCGGCAGTATCCCACTTGAAGCCTATGTTAGCTGGTTCTTGGAAAAACAAGGTTTTGGCGTGCGCGCTAGATGCCACGTACAATCTGCAGCTTGACCGTCTTGCCGTCGAGCTCTATTGTTCGGATTTTCTGAGACAGGGGTTAGGCGATATCCTAGGCAGGAGGGGAGGGGTCGGGCGAGGATGACGCACAAAATCGACACCGATGGTCGAGATGTAGGACTCGGTGTAGGTGTCATCGGCAAATCGCAGAAGCAGGCAAGACTTTCCAACACCGGAATCTCCGATGAGGAGGAGCTTGAAGAGATAGTCGTATCTGAGAAGGCGGTGCACGTCAGAAAAATATCATCCAGGATCGCATCCCCGACACCTAAAGAGGAATCGGAGCGAGACGGGCGCGCCGGCGATGGAAGGGAAGGGACTCTGGAGCGACTGTCAGCATGGGCGGTGATCCATCGAAAGGAGGTTATCGCAAAGGAGGCGGGAAGAGGTGTGGCGTACTACTCGGGGTTCATCTTGGCGGGTTTGCTCTAGGTATCGCGGCAAGGCGAGATTCGTCTTATGGGCGACGAAGAAGGGGGGCGAGATCTGAGATGAGCGAAGCCGAAGGCGATGAGGGATGAGGTTTGGTATGGAGATGATGGGGAGAAGATCAAGTTGGGTTCCGCTGAGATGCAGAGGCTCAAGTACGTCAGGGACTGGAAGACAAACGTAACGCCAGGCAGCGCCAGCGCGGCACCAGAGGGAAGCAGGGCGGTTCGGCGGTGGAATGGGGCAGCTGACAGGTCACGTGAGACCCAGAACAAAGGATTGCTGTCTTTGGTGAAGAGGCTGTGCAAGCGCAGGAGAGAATGAGGATGAAATTAAATAAAAGCACCAAGACGCCCAGATTTATTTTAGCTCTCGAGCAGGGTTTAATCTTACTGCTTGTTTTTTCATGCCTTGCTCTTGCAGACTCAAAACGAGGCAAAAGTTATTTTTGATGAGATTGTCCTTTTTTGTCCAACCTTGAGAACCCCAACCTCGTCAACTAACTGGCGGTTTTCGTCACGGGCGGTTTGTTGAAAAGATGCATGCCCCAGCAGAAAAAGAGACGGCAGGATTGCATGTGACAAAAAGAAAAGACGACCTGTTCGTGTACCTGCATCCATGCCGTTTCCATCATGCGGCCCTTTTCTTACAAGTATCGGGGCTCTTTCAGAGTCAGTCATTTATTCAGGTCCAGTGACATAGTAGGTCACGACATTGGCCAGTGTATGATCCCAAGGCTTGTGATGCGTGCCTTGACCGGCCCAGTACTGCATCATCTCGCAACAAAAGACAAGAGGCTCTCACTCTCTCTCATAGCGAGATAACAGCCCCTTATCAGTGGACCCCGTTTCATCGTCCCCCTCGAAAGAAGATCCAATGCTTCGAGTTGTTCCCCCTGGAGAAAACCACCTGGTCCCGTCGGGGCGGTCACAAACGCTGGACCCCGCCCCGCCACATCCCGCTACAGTATCCGCTGTCAGCCGCCCTGTGGCGGTGGAGATCAGTGGCTGGGCTGGCCAACCAGGAGCTTGAGAGTTCTCATGTATCTCTTCAGCAAAGTTTAGTGTAGGAGTACTTCTCGGCGATCCAGCCAACCCGACTTTACCCATTTGCCCTCTGTCAAAAAAAGTTCCAAAAGTGGACTGGGTCATGTCAAGCTATCGACCAACTACCTCACCATTCAACTTGACTCTACAGTCTTCTACTCAATCAGCTTTAATCAAATCTACTCGTCGCGCAATTCCCTACTTCGGCCTCGCCTCTGTCTTATTCCAAAATCCATGAGGCTCCCCGTCCCGTTGCGCTGACCACCCAATGGCCGCGCCCATTCGCTCCGCTATAAGCCGTTCCGGCCGGCCCTCTGCCGCATCACTTCGCCGGCTTTCCAGCGCCCATCCTGTAAAGGCCCAGGTCAAGCCCATATCCGTCCGGGAGCCTTCTACGCCTTCAGATGTTACCATCCTTGAGACCTCAGTGAGGCGAGCTGCTTTGTCGAGGACCTATTTCGATGCGACGGGCGTACGGTGGGTTGGAGCCGGCGATGACGGGCCAAAGGACCCAAACAAGGCCAAGCTGGGCAAGAGTACGAAAGACCAGGATTACGGGGAGGATTGATAAGATTGAGATCATATAATACTAACCGGGAACAGCTCTAAGAATCCTCCAAGAACGACTACCGACCCTCCTCCTCCATCCTCTCCCCCACGATCTCCTCGCGCCCAACATCTGCCTCCACCTATTCCCCTCGACACACCCGCACCTACCCACCGTCTCAGGCCGCGTCGCATACAATGCCGCCCTCTGGACGTCGCCCATAGCCTGGAACCGCGTTCCCATCATTGGCAACGTCCGCATCGAGATCCTCGCCGAGCGCATGACCTCAGAGCCCCTCACCTTCCTACCCCGCCGTCCGGGAGCCATCCCTGAACAACTCGTCGTTCGCTGGTGCGAGAAGCGCAAGGAGCCCAGGTCCGCCAGCGATGCCAGCATCCTTGCGCGGTCGTTGCCCTTTGGCCGTGGCGTTGACCCAGACAAGGCCTTTACCGGGCTGTTTGTGTTTGACTTTGACGCCGAGGGCAGGATACTGAGCCACACGATCGAGCAAGCACAAGCGGGCGGCGATTGGGAGGGCGGCGTCGGCGCAAAGGTCGTAGGCCTAACGGACTGGCTTCTCGGCGGCCTCAAGAATCCCGACGACACACCTATACCCATGTTTGAGCGTCTACGAAGGCGAAGGTCCATCTAGACCCTCGCCTGTTTAGACAAGCGAGAAAAACAGGGTGACAGTGGTGCTCTGGGCTGTATTTTTAAAAGAAAAAAGGGAAAAGGAATCAAGACCAAGAGGGAGAGTAATGACTCCATACGAGAGGCGTTTCCGGTACAATCTCCATCGATGGATGGCATGACCAGCTGTTTCGGGTTGAGTCTCTGAGCATCTCGAGTCCGGGGGTATTAAGGGACCGTGTACAACAGTGAGCCACACAAGACTCCACACATATTGACTATTCGTAGCCTTTGTATAGTATTACCTGCAGCAGCTCCTATTAATAGAGAATCGACTGTATGAGACAAGCAATTCATATCTGCCACGCGGTCACCGCTTCATGATTTAGGAGATTGCTACGAAACTCGTCAGGGACGTGTTATCGAATATTCAACAAAGTACTGCATGTTTGTTTTGAAAGCATATGACTTTGGTTTGTCTGGTCGGACCACGTAGCTTCTTAGCCATCGTCGGGACCTTGGCCGGTCAATATGTTTGCTCGTGTGATGTTAGGTATACAGTATTGGGTCTGAGGACAGCATTGTGCCGGAAACCACAATTTTTGTTGTATTCATATCTTGTCTTTGTGAAATGATAGGTCACAGTCTCAGGCATGTAGAAACTCATGGCCTCCCTAAATCTTGTAAAGGGGGGGAAGGTTGTGCTTAGACTCAACTATTGTCGATCCGAAAGACGTAGATTCACCATGTGATTATTATCAAATCCTGAGGTTCAATCCCCTGTCAACATTTCCCCTGCTTGTTCCAAGTTGCATTCCCGTCATCCAACACTCGCTGACGGCCTCAAGCCCGAACTCATCACATATCCAAACTACCCGTACATAGCCAACTACAACCCCGGTCAATAACAGCAAACACTAACCAAAAATGTGATATCCTAGCTTTTCTCGGTTCATCTATTCATGCATGCTAACTATGCGCGTCGAACCACTAGTCTTGATATTTCCAGTCCCAATTCCCATAGAACCGACTCCTCTATAACAGAGCCGTTCTTCTTTCCCCATCCCGCAGTCAAAGGGCATTTCACAATATTCTGCCCAATGAACTGCATCTCATCCACAGCTAGCAATTTTCTCATAGCAAACATGTGGCGCCTCCCTTTCTAAAACACAATCTCTCCCAGATTCTCCCCCTCAAAGCCCTGCTTGGCCAACTTCTTGAGCCTCACCTTTTCCTTTGCCTTGTCCGCCACCTTCTTGTCCTCAGCCAGCTTCTTGACTACCTCGAGCTCCGCGCGCTGGAATCCGGGTGGTGGGTCGTCATCCTTGTCGAGGTCGATCTCGCCGAGGAGGAGCACGTTTTCGCCGCGCACGAGAAAGATGCCGTGCGTTATGTCAGCGTAGAGACCCGCCGGTTGGTCGCTGCCTGCCGACTCGGGAAGAGGCGCAAAGATGCGCTCGATCGTGGATTGGAGGACGAGGTTGGCTGGTTTTGCATGGTCAGAAAACCGTGTCCTCGCAAGTTCGCCCCCCTTCCAAGTTCATGAGGGTCAGAGAGGAAAACCAACCGAACTGATCCCAACTTCTTAGCACCCCAATAAGTTTTCTCCCGTCGCGCAAGGCGACCATGAGCTTCTCTGCAGTTTCACCAACCGTCAGCACTCGATCCTCCCTTGTATATGCCCCCCTTGTTGCTCTCATGTCCCATCCGTCCCCAGGACCGCAAGCAAGAACCAACTGTTATCATGGCGAGGTCGTACTGTCTGTGAGGTCCAGCAGCTGCGCAGCAGTGGTAAACATCTGCGGCGGCAGCTGAGGCAGCGGTTGCGGAGCGCCGCCGCCGCGTCCCTGCGGAGGGGCATCGGAGATGGACAGGTTCTCCATTATATCATGGGTCTGGGGCGGTGTCGTTCGTGGGAGGTTTTCGATTGTTCGGGTGCTTTATAAATCCATGGAATATTCGGTCCTAGAGCTCATGACATACACATTGCGAAAAAGAGCTGCGTGGTTGTCTGAAATAACGGGTTGCTGGTCCGTGTCGTTGATGCTTCGACGTTGAGCAAAGGTGCGGCGAACCTGTTATCGATAAGAGCCATATCACGTGCAGAGTCATGTGATCGGCGTCACCATCAGTGAGATGCCTGTCGATGGTCTCATTTTGTGCCGAATGCGGGGCAGCTTGGAAAAGTCAATAGAGGGGCGAATAAGGAGTGAGGGGCATGTTGAACATGTTGGCGGGGCACATTCGAATCTGCCAGGGAACAGAGCAAACAAGCATCAATGACAAGCCTTGGGCCGCAGGTTGCTAGCGGGTGAAGTTGCAGCAGTGACCTCGCCTGTGCGTCATCATTCTATTCATTGATTGATCAATAATAAATTTCTGTCAATTATTTTACATTCATTTCATTTCATTGCTGATTACTGTATCTTTTGTTGGGCTTCTCATTTCAGTGATGCATCACAATGAGAGAAATCGCCACGTCTATTTTTTTCCGCCAACTCAACTCTACCGCAATAGGCGAGTGAGTTAATGGGGCTTCTCTTTCTAGCCGGATGGATATCTGGTGCACCGTTCGCTGCCTTTGCCTTTGCCTGTCCCTTCCCATGTTTGGTGTGTCCTGGGAGACTCCGTTCAAAGAAGAAAAAAGGCAAGAAATCCAAGAGCAGCCAACCAACCCCTTGTTGTTTTTTTCTCCCGGACCTCGTCAAGAGTCAAAACAAAATAATGTCCCTCTCGTCTTGATGTATGCACCGTAATATGCCGCTCAGGTAAACCGTCCCGCCTGAATTCTTGGTTGCGTAAAAAGACTCTATCATAATCCACCGAACGCCTTTGGATGGATGCACGTTGTATCATCTCTGCAAATAGAGAGAGCAAGGAAAAGAGGAGATTTGAGGATGAAAACACATGTCAAGAGCCGTTGTCAACATGTGTTCTTCCCTCTCATGATGCTGAGTTGGCGGAGAAGCCTGGTTCCTTTTCAGAACCGGCTCACTCACTTCTCGCCATTCATGCAACAAGCGCCGTGGTAGGTTCCAGCGTGAGCTGTGCATCAAGTGACAAGCTGTCGACGATGGTCAATCGCCTGCAGAGGCCAGAGCTGATCGTGAGAGGGCGTGCCGTGAGGCTATGTCCGGCTCATAGTAGACCGTTCCAAAGCCTCCTGCAGCTCTGGTCTTGTTGACAAGGCTTCCCAGGCCTGAGTAAATGAGAACCACTGGCGTTCGCGCTTGTGACTCTCGGGCCAGTCGTCGTACTCGCCAGTGACGACGCCCTCGAAGAAATGGTATCTTGACCGATCTTTTGATGACTTGGGCGCGCGCTTCTCATCGATGTCGCCAAGGTCGTAGCTGATCTGGACGGTGATGCCGGCTTCTTCCCAAGCCTCTCGCTCGGCAGCCTCTTGGCACGTCTCGTCCGATTCCCAGCCGCCCTTGGGCAAGACCCAACCTTTTCGCCGGGTGGACTGGATCAACAGCACATAGTTCTGATCGGGTGTGAGGGGCACGATGCCAGCGACGAGACGTTCACCCTTGGTGTTGTAACCTGCAGAGTGAAACATGTTAGCGAATCCGAGCTTGTTGAGCTAAACGTGGGGTATGGCCATGGGATTGTGGTCAATGACATTGGCCGCAGTCGCAGGAACAAATTGAGTGCCAACGACGGCGAATTGGGGCTGGGGGATTGGTGGCGCAAGAAGCGAGTTGAAGATGCAGGCTTGGGAAATTACGAGAGCAAAAAAAAAAAAGTTGAGTGTGCTCAAGAGAGGGTATGTAGGATCGCGCAGTTCGCAAAGACTCACGTTGCTTGCTTCTACCCACTCGTGACTCCATTGACCGGCCACCAGCGCCCGAGTCGCCAGAGGCAGAACTCGACATGTTAGTGGTGTGTTGTGGACGGAGATTGGGTGAGGGTTTCGGAGGGTTTCTGGTCGGACAAGTTCGAGAACACAAAGGCTCGCAAGTCTCGGAGAGCGATGAGGCGGACGACGGAAGCTGGCAGATCCACGGAGGGAGCGGAGCGGAACGGATGTTCACGTTCACCCCTGGGTCGAGAGAGAACCTGCGACGGGCGGGCGGGTTGCTTTCAAAGCACCTGGCGATGCATCATTGTCGACAGAGAAAGTTGTAAAGGTTCAGGGGGGAGGAGACGGATGAAGGAGAGCAAAGACAAGAGGTCGTTTGCCCGCGCCAGAAGGAGCTGGGTGCTTGAGGGTTTTGGTCGGGGAGAGCCCAGGCGCTCCAGAGAGCTGGGCTGGCGATGTGATATACTGCGAGATGATGGAGGTGTGGGCGCGCGCACGCGCAAAAACGTCCCAAGTCTAGCTCGAGGGGGGTCAGCGGACGACTCGGCGGATCTCTTTCTGTCTCTGTCTGTGTCTGGCACAGGGCAACAGAGAGAAAGAAGGATGGGGCCGGGGGCGTGTAGGTACCAGGCTTGCTTGGGGCGCTGGGCGGACGTCCGACCCTGTCTGCGAAGAGAGAGGGCGTGGAGGCTAGAACCAGCAGCGAGCGAGAGCTGGAGGCAAAGGAGGCGTCAGGAAAAAAAAAAGCTGGACCCTCTACAGTGGACGACGGAGTATGCGTAGTGGCCGTCGATGGTACCCCTTGTAAGCTTGCCAGTAGCAGTAGCACAGGGCCGGGCAGGGCAGGTCAGTAGCTTTTGCTGAGGTGCCCGGCGCAACGCAGATGGATGGAGCTTTTGTAGGGCGAGGTGGTACCCCGGGGGCAGTGAGTCGCTGGTACGGTACTGTACCGTACGGTGTGGAACCGAGGGCTTTCGCTGGGTCAACCGATGCGACAAGTTGCCTTTTTTGTTGGTGGTTTTTGTGCTGGCTGACTGAGAGCTGACGGTGACGGAGGAGAGGAGATGAGGCTTGTTGGTACGAGTAATGAATGTCCCAGGGCAAGCCAGAAATCTGGCAAGGTACCGTACGCAAAGAGATGCTGCTAGGCAGGGACAGAGGCTAAATTTACTGCGCGCAGGAACTCTATCGGGTGGTGTTCCGGAGTTATCGGCGAGAATACTCCGTTGGTAAATTCACCGGAAGCGAGGTCGGAGGCGAGATCTTTCGACAAGAAGCTCGATTAGTTAGTTACAAGATGGATATCGATGGACACCAAAAAAAGAGGCCTGTCGCACAGGTACTGGAGTTGTGAGGTGCAGGGTAGGTGTCTCGCCAAACAACCCGGGGATCCTGGTAGGTGCTGTAGCGACCGAAACCTTGCAGAGTCCAATGCTAAGAGCTCAGCACGTGGCTCAAGAAAGTCTGTTCGTCAAGGTGACGCTTGTAAAAGCGAAAGTCAAAGATGAGGGCAGCTGGGATAAAGGTAAAAGGAGGGCCAATGGCAGAGAGCTGGCGTATAAGAGTAGAGATAAACGAGAGCAAGGCAAATGTGAGGTAAAGGTGCTTTGGTAACAGGTAGACATCCAACCGTTACATGTCTCGTGCCGTCCAACTCTCAGACTAGAACTGAGATGCCGGCGGTGACAGAGCCAGTTGGCTTTATACTCGAGCTAATCTGGTAGCTCGCCCGTGGTCGATGGAACATGGATAGGCTGGCCATCACCTGTCCCCGTAAAAAAGCTTCATTCTCTGCCAGAGCAAGACTGCAAGACAAGCCAGGGACAACCTGGGATGTACCACGGTGCTATACTATACCTTCTCAGTAGGGCAATGGGCGTGGAGGAGGATGGATGTGGCAGACAAGCATGGGATGCACATGGGGGGTAATGCGATGGGGAGAGTGCCATCATTGGATTTTTTTTTTCTGTCTGTCTTTTTTTGCCCTGGTGAGGCCACGCCCCCCTTTTCTTCCTATCAGAGACGCCCTGGCGAGACTAACAGAGGAGATGGAAGATGCAAGATGGTTGAAAGGAGTAGGAGGGTGCATGCAAGGAATCTCTTACCCAGGCTTCTACGTGCGAAAAGTACAGGCACAAGACCAGTAAAAGACAAACTTGCGAGGCAAAGGGTGCCAAAGAGAGATCCCCTATTTCCCCGTCACTGGCACCCTCAGTCAAGCGAGTTCTGGCCTAGGCTCTCCCTGGAAATGGAAACAGTCTATCGCTGGGCCCGTCGTCTCCGCTCGTCCCGCCCAGAACCCACGGCCTGGGGCTTGGGAGGATGGAGAATCAGGGCCGAGCTGTGCCATGACCATGACGGAGCGTGCGTTGCGTGGTGCCACTAAGAACAGAATGAGAAAGGAAGCTCGCCTCAGGCTGCCGTCACTGTAAGAATGTGGCATGTGCAGCAGCAGCATGTCAATGTGAGCGCGACGATCTACCCCGTAGGCATTGAGAGTGGCTGACGGGTTCTTGTGACTCTCTCATAAGCTCTCAAAGCATCTTGTATCATGGGTGTTCATGAATCGTGACGGAAAAGGCTTAGAAACTGTCAACTGAAAGAGGGTGAAGAAATAATAGCGTCAGCGTCCATAACTCATCGTACAACAATACGCCCAAAAGGGAAGCGGGCATGCATCACGGCCATGCACTCTAGCAAGCCCGGTCGGCCATCAGCCAGGCCCTTGGAGCAGAGAAAAAAAGTCTTGGATCTGGGTCAGGTCCCTTTGCAACCACGTCTCGAGTCGGTATATCAGCACGCGGACGCAAGCTCTGCGCTCGCTCGCAGGGCGTGGGGTACCCATGGCGCTGGAGGGGGGAGATGGACTAGGGGGGCTTGCGGCGTCTCGCTCGCGGGGACTCCAAGCTTGGCCTCTTCTCGATTCACATGTTGCCAATGATAGGTTCATCGTCGCCCACGGCCAGCTTCTGCGCTGTACCACTTTACCCTGACGTACGATGCACCTAAGTAAGGTGGGAGGTGAGGGGGAGGGGCAGAAGGGCCGGCGCTTGTACTGCATTGCTCCGTACAGAGGAGTACAGTTACAAGCATGTCGTCGTTGATGTGAGCCTTCTGCCTCGTCGTCCTGGCCCCCGTGGCTGAAGGAAGCGTTTTCCAGTGCAGAAAAGTTGTCACTGGGAGTCGGCATGTTCCAATTGGGGTTATGCGCATCTATCGTCGACATCCGATGACGGCCTTGTAAGTTAACAAACCTGGTCTTGTTTGCCTTTCATCTCTCACCCAGAACGTCATATCGTTCAAGTCGCTAATTGGCAGATGGTGTGCATTTATGCTTGGCATTGCCTGTCCAGGTCTATTCCGCCGGCCATCTTCCGTCGGTTCTCTTCAACAATAAAGAGTCTCTGGTTATGCCAATCACCTTCATGCCGGTAATTTCATAGCGTATCTAGTTCCGCAGCTCCCAACGTCCACTAACACCGGATGCTAAGGCCCGAGGAAAAGAAACGAAAGGATGGGAAAAAGCCCGCACGTCGGACGATAGAGGGAATGGGTGCCGTGACTCTTGGCCTCTACACAGACAGAAGCATTCGAAACCTGCACAGAGATGGAGCCTCTCCCCAAGGAGGCACAAGGAAGCCAAGGCAAGCAAGTCATTGTCGGTTGTCGTCGTGGCCCTGGAACCGTCCACTTTTTGACACTAGGCCGGTAGGTTCTTTGCTTTTCCTCTCATTCGCCGCAGCCGAGAGCTGCAGCATGCAAGGAATAGAGGAAACAGGCCGTCGTCGACGTTTGGGGATTGGCCACCATCAGCCAGGGCGATCGTGTTTCCTGCGTCTTCTCCAATCTCATCTCATTTTTCCCGGCCCTGGACATGTACCTCTGTCCCCTCCATCAGCATGACATGGGATGGGAAAATCGACCAGTTGGTGACACAACGGCTCAGCCTTGTCGCGCGTCGAGTGTGAGTGTGTGTTGGGAGGTCGGGTCATGTTCCTACTGGCCGTGGTGTCTGAGCCTTCACCGTAAAAGCAAGCCCACCTCACCTCTATGCTGTGGGAGAGAAAGAAAGAAGCAAAAAATGGGCAGAAACCTATCTGTCAACCCCCCTGCAAGCTACTTTTCTGTACATATTTCGGGAACCTCAGCGGTCGGATCCGTTGGGCTGGACCCTGGAGTAGCACCCTTTGTCCTCCACTCTATCGGAGAAGGCCTGGCAGGGCTCCAAGACATGGACACATGTTTGTGCATGCGTGCAAGTGAAAGAAAATCATGACATGCCTTGGAAGGAGTTGCGTAGAAGGAGTCTTTTTGCATCAGATAGATTGAGGCTATTTATTCTTGTTTGACACAGTTATAGAGCTGCTATCAAGACACGTCAAGGTGGAAGATAGCCCGGTAGTGAAGGATGGAGCCGGTGTAGGTATCGGCATCACCCCGCAGTTGGAAGGAGCTGGAGCTGGCTGGCAGCACCCGTCATTCGCAGTTGCCTCGCCTGAGGTGCTGAGCCGTTTGTTGATCTTCAAACGTCGTGCGTCTCCAGCTCCAACCTCCAATCTCCATCTTCACCATCTCCCTTCCTCAAAGCTCGTCCAAAAAACCCACCAGGCGCCCACTTCTCATCTTCCGACTTTTCCTCACCGGTCACGGTCTGACAGACAGACGACCTTTTGTCTCTGCAGTTCTGCCGGCTGGAAGTGCCCGCGCCTTTCATCGGATCCCAGATCCTGGATCGATCCGCGCAGTTTGCCTCGTCTGCCTCAGAAGCTCCCCCTCCTGTGTGTCTTTTGGGTTGCTGAACCCCTGTTCGGTTGCTCCCCCTAGTCGCCCAGATCGAAGCCGGCTCGCAACTGCTGGTCAAGCTAGACTGCCTGTCGCACACGATCACCGTCGGTCGACCAACGCTGGGTCGTCATCATCCCGTGTGCAGCCAGCAAGCAAGCAACCAGTTCGGTTAACCTTCTTCCGCCAGCCAGACAGACACACACAACATCCCACGCTCACGCACACACTGTTTCCCCTTGTTTCAAGAGGGGAATTGGCGGGCACGCGATCGCTTCTTTGCTCAACAAGCACAAACTCACACGCCCCCTCCATCCGTCCAAGCAAGGCTCGCCCGGGAATCCGCCCCTCCACCCGCGAGCCATCCCGCCGGACGCAGGCGGTACCTCACGCACCGACTTGCCCGTCCTGGGTAGCCTACCTCGTGGGTGACGTCCTCATCTCCAACTCGTCGTGGTCCGTGAGATCCATACCTACAGCTACAGCACATACATAGACCCGGTGCCCCTCTTCGGTCGACGACGGCTCCAGGTGGTTCCGTCTCAGGCAATCCATCGCCAGAGCTTTGTCAAAAGGCTGGGTGCTTTTTCAGCTACGCGGCTCCAGTGACCAGTGGTGCTGCCGGTGCTGCCTCGAGGCCCACGATGGAACCCAGTGGCATGCGCATCCCTGAAGATGCGTCGTTGCGGTACGAGTATATCTCGCCAATTGGTGAGTGCTTATTCCCTTGTTCTGCTCCAACCGTTTGCGCGCGTGGTGCAATGCCGGCTTGTCGTTGGTTGCCGGCGCCTGCGCTTGAGCTCCGCCGCGGCCGTTCCCCGTGGCGCCCCCGTCTTCCCCGTCCGGGCCAAGTCGCTCGCTCACGTTGCTCCATTTCCACTTCACTTGCTTGCACACTTACAGCACATCCACTTCAATTTCCATGTCAATTTAGGCTGGCTACGGCTTCGACTTGCCTCGGCCTTGGTTGTCTGTCAGTCTGTCAACCAGAAGGAATTGGATCCCACGTCCCACAGTTTCCGCGATCCAATCTCAATGCTTGCGGGCCAATGTCCGGGTTGCCAACTTCAACGTCAATGGCCCTTCAGCTTGTGCACACCCGCCCACAATTACTCTCAACAAGTTGTTGATGCTCCTGCCGCTGCCCTTCATGTAGCCATGGGTCTGCCGGCTTCTTTGTTCGCCAATCCCAGCATCCGTATTCGTACGGTCATCATCTTTTGCTGGAACGTGTGACAAGACTATTGCTGGCACCAGTGCCTTCTCCAGCTTTTGCATCACCCGCATATGCGCGCATGATACGCCTCGAGCCTCTGCCTGGGAAGTCTGTCAATGTCATGACACAACTCAATGCTATGCCGTGATCCTCTGACTACCATGGACAAGGCTTCAGGTCTAGTCGGATATCGGAATCGTCCTCAGGTCGGGCCGTCGCGGGTCTGTTCAAGGGCCAGGAGTCTTGTACATGGCTAATGCTCCGAGGCCATTTCCGTTGACACCCATCATATGCCTGTCTATAATCTGGCTGTACCTTTCCCCGTGACGATTTCTGCCTCTTACACGCATCTCATGTCTTGGCCCCCACGCTCGGTGTTCTACACTTGACACCTCACAAAGTCTCAGTTTCTACCACTCATCCCCCACGCAATTGTCATTCGTACCTCCTTCTTGACCGAATGCTGACCGACGATTAGCCTACTCCAAGTCATCAAGATGCGGCTACTGTGGAAAGCGTGGCAACAGTCAGTCAAAACGTGAACCCAGCCCCTGCACCTCCCCGTTTCCTGCTTCCCCGAACGCCTCAACACCTGCTCCACTGACGGCACGAGACTCTAGTTCCCGCATAGTCGTATCATGGGGGAGAGACTCTACACGTGCCAAGTCAATATCCCTTCCACTCTTTGTCATACTCCTTCCACACCAGGCACCGAGGGACAGGCGAGGCTAACTAGTACGTGGGATGGTAGGCTACTCTTACTACGCCTCTGCATCATCACTGAGTGCCGGGTTCTACCAGACGCTTCTTGGTAGGTGCTGGAGGCGTTCTGGTACGCTCATGTATCGACCTGACCAGCGTCGATCATGTTGTCCTCATTACACCATACGTCTCGACTCTAGCCAGTTCAAGCCATCCAGGGACCAACGACAGACCATCAACCGCTTCAACAGGTACGTCATGGGCGAGACCTATACGAAAGAGGTTGCTCGTCTTCATCCAAAGTCGCGTGACCAGGCAAAGAAGCGAGATAATCACTTTGACCTGATCGAGCGGGTTCACGAAGCCGAGGATGCTCAGTTGCTCAACCCCCCTGAGGCTGCGCACAAGCTTGTCGTGACTCTGGAGACAGATGATTTCACGGAAGAAAAGTTTGAGGTCTATGAGAACTACCAGAGAGTGGTACACAAGGAGGGGCCGAGCAAAATAACTGCTGGCGGGTTCAAGCGTTTCTTGTGCAGCTCACCCCTGAGACGAGAGACGATGGTGGATTCGAATGGCAAAGAGCGCCGTCTTGGGTCTTATCATCATTGCTATAGGTTGGACGGCAAGCTCGTGGCGATCGGTGTGCTTGATCTCTTGCCCGAGTGTGTAAGCTCAGTCTACTTCCTCTACCATGAGAGCATTCACAAGTGGGCGCCGGGAAAGCTCGGTGCGCTCTACGAGATTGCTCTGTCCATCGAGGAGGGTTATGGATGGTGGTACCCAGGCTTTTACATTCACAGCTGCCCCAAGATGCGGTACAAGATTGACTATTCACCGCAGTTTATTCTTGATCCGAACTCACTTACCTGGGATCCTTTGGATCGAAAGATGTTGGATCTCTTGGACAAGAAGGCGTTTGTGAGCCTGTCCTTGGAGAAGCAGAGGGAGTCTAACAATGGTCATGGTCCATTGAGCGTTGATGAGGATATGGATATGAGCAACAAGTCTGATGTCGAATCAGAGGGCTCGAAGTCTGGAGATGATGAAGATGACTGGCTCTTCAACGTCAACATGCCAGGTATTCCTCCTCTCTCTTCGGTGGCTGACTGGGATCTGGACAACATCGCGTTGAAGATCAGGCCAGATGGACCATTGTACAAGACGTCAAATCTTGTCATTTGGGACAAACGGGGCGTGGAGGATTATCCGGGATTGAAGGCTGGAGTTGCAGAGCTTGTTGCAGCCGTTGGGCCAGATTTGATAGACCGAATTTGTTTGGATTTCACGCCACGAAGAGGATAGGGCTCTACTTGGGACAGGGGGGCTTGTATGAATCTATAGAGAATTGATGATGATTTGACGATGATGCTGGCGAAACATGAAGCAAGGTGGATAAGTATCACGCCGAAATTTTTCATAAATAATTGCAAGTTGTGAGCTGTAAGTTGAACTGAGTTGAGTGCCTGTGGAATGGATCAAGGCCAGAGGTTCCATCAAGCACCCCGCAATCTGCAACCCACCCACCACACCTAGCTTTTTTCTTTATCTTATCACTCACCTCGGTGAAGGACCAACCTTTTCCAAACATCAAAAATCATCGAGTGATTGAGACCCATCTTGCGACACAGCATTTTCGCGTCGCGTCCGATAGAGAACTAGCATTGCTATATCTTGCAAGCTTGAAAAGAATACCCCGGTCATATCTGCTGCTGAGCGCACGCCATCATCACAATGGCGACGCAGCAAAGCCTCTTCTCACCTGCTGAGCTCGCCTACCTCCACCGCACCCTCTCACTTCGACCCCCCATCCGACCCGATGGCCGCACGCCGACGCAGTTCCGCCCCCTGACGGCTGAGACTGGAGTTCTACCTGGCACAAACGGTAGCGCGCGAGTTCAATTTGCCGACGGCACCGAAGCCATCGTGGGAGTCAAGGCCGAGATTGAAAAGACGGCTGGCGGAGAGGAGGACCAGGGCGAAGAGGATAGGACGAGGGGTGACTGGATCGAGCTGGCGGTGGAAATTCCCGGACAGAGGGATGATGATGCCTCGACTGTGTTTTTGGCTGAGATGCTGAGAGAAGCGCTCTTGGCTGACAAGGAGTTTGCCAAGAAGTTGAGGATCAACAGGCGGTTTCACTGGAGGCTATACCTCGACGTAAGTGTGACATCTACGGGTTACCCGTGTTCTTGCGACAAGACTGATGCTGACCGAACTCACAGGTTCTGCTAATATCGCCTCCGCTGGCATACCCTCTCCCCCTTCTCTCACTCACAACCCACCTCGCCCTCCTGGCTACGCGCCTCCCGCGCCTCAAGTCGGAGGGTGACGAAGACCCCATGTTTGACGACGATTGGGAGGCTTCGACTTTCTTGTACCCGCGCGAAGGTGCTGGCGCAGCTGGATCGCGACCCCCAATTACTCTGCTGGTCGTCGCAGTCGGCGACAACACCATTTTCGACCCAGCCAAGGAAGAGCTTGCTGTCGCGGAGACGGCGCTGGCAGTTTCTGTGGCCGAGGTGCGCCGCGTCAAGACGGAGGGTGATATGGAAGTCGACTCTACGGACCGCCAGCTTAGGTTGCTGTCTATCCGGACTGTTGATCCACCTTCGAGACTCACACCACCCGGTGTGCCGCATACTACGAATACCAATGGGACGAAGAAGGCAGGTGATGCACAGACTACTGAGGGAGTGTGGAAGGCGCCTTTGGGAGGAACCAAGTTTGGTGTCATGGATGGTATAATACAGGCCGTGTTGGAGAAGGGTGGTGTTGCGGATGATGTGTTGGATGGTCTGGAGGGCGTTGAGCTGACATGATAAAACATCCATGATTGATCACTGTGGCATAGAACACAACGAGATGTAAAAGGCTAAATATCCGATGTAATCATACAAACTGCGTCTTGGAAGGCGTGGGCTCATTATGCTACAGCTATTTTACAGGCAGATTTGAGTTTTTGGTTGCCATTTTTATACATTTCAAAAGATACCAAGCCACTTCTTCTTGGGCTCCTCTGGCTTCTTCTCCTCCTCGGTCTTTTGCGGGGGCTCCCGTCCCATGGCAGCGGCCTCGAGCTCATCCTCAGACTTTTCCTCTCCCTTGCCAAACACGATGGAAACGGGGTCCTTGGTCTCGATGCCGTGCATCTTCATAAAGTAGCGGCGCTTGGCGACGTCGTCGAGGTGGCGGGTTCGGTGCTCGACGGCCTTCTCGGCCTTGTCCTGTTCGTGCAGCAGGATAACGTTCTTCCAGGCGACGAAGAAGTGGATCGGGTGCGTCCAGAGGTCTGAAATGGGGGGCACGAGCTCCTTGTAGGGCGAGTTGTAGGCGTAGTTCATGAAGAAGGTGAAGACGCCGAGGGCGAAGAGGGTGCCCTGTGAGGGGTTAGCATCGGTGGTGTGATTTGCTCGTTGCTACCCATTGGGAGCAATTGAGTTGTGAGTTTAACGCACCATGGTGATAAAAGTGTGAAGAAGCCTGCTGTGCCAAAAGAAATGCGCCCAGGTTCCCTCGGGAGCCATCATGCCTGGGTAGTTCTTGGTGTTTTGCGCGGCGATCTCGGCGGCGGTGAGGTCGGGACCGTAGTGCTTGGGAACATGGTTCCTCTTTGTTCGGGATCCATGGGAAGGTGGATTGAAGCGTGCGGGCTTCTCGAGAACGATGGGCTTTTCTGTCGAGGAGCTGGCGAAGCGAATTCGGATGCTGTTCTGGGAGAGCGGGATGCTGATGCCGCGCCAGAGGGGTCCCTGGAGGGGGAGGAGGAAGCGGGGAATTATAGCACGGGTTGTCATTGTTGGAGGTGCCTCTTCTGGGTAATAGAGAAGCTTGTGCTGATCCTGGGTCTCCTCCGCGTGCTACCGGGCCGGCGTTTCAAGGCCGAGGTTGATGGGTTGAGGTTGTTTTTTTTGGCGATGCCCTCACTTTCGATTCAGAAGAATCTTTTTTCCGAAGTCCGCTGAAGGGTTAAAAAAAATCAAGCACTGACTCGGACCCGGGAAGCGGGGGACCCACTCCGCTGTTTCCCTCCGTTTGCTCGATCTAAACCAAAAAGGGTCAAGGGCTCTGACATCAGGTACTTGCTACCCCGGAAAAACCAGACCGCCGCGCGGACCCGCCCTCATGATCCGACTTCACCCGGAGCCACATTCGCAGTCTGCGTAATTCTCGCTCCCTGATTGGTTGTATCTACTCCAGCCACAGGTGGCTGCCGAACGGCCGTTGGCGAAAAAGTGAGCAAACTTCCCGGGCAGATGGCCAAGGCAGGCGCACACCGGGGCGGCGGGCGGCCCTTTCGGCGGGGTGTCATGCTGTCATAAAGATTTGTTTTGCCTCTTTCCCTTTTTTTTTCTTCCTTCTCTCCCTCCTTCCTTTTCATCCTCTCTCCCTCTCTCCATTACCAACCACACATCTTCAAGATCCATTTCTTGACCTTGGCTCGAGCCTCACCTCACCTTCATCCTTACCCGTTAATTCATACCTAACATTCACAATGGCTGGCGGTAAGTGCCCTTTTTTCTATGCAGCAATTCCACGCTCTTTGTTTGCGCCGGGACCGCGAGCGCCGCTGGGAGGTCAATTGAGGATCGCGAGACAGAGGAGCTTCAGCGCAGAGGATTCCACGACTTCAATTTGAAGTTTTGGGTCTTTTGAGGGTTTGGCGGCGACCGCTGACGGCGGGCACGCGAGCTGTGTCTCTTTAAGCCTGCGTTATTTTACCCAGACAAGGCTTCCCTCCTGACCAAGATTCTCTCGACAATGGCTCACCAACAGCCTGTGCGACGCCATTCACCGGCATCGCAATCTCACCCTCGTCCTCAATCCCTCTCAGCAGCGCTCACACCCGGCACCGCACCGGATCCGCATTTTCACTCGTGTGCTAACTCGACATTCCCTCAGGCGACGTCAAGAAGGGTGCCAACCTGTTCAAGACCCGATGTGCTCAGTGCCACACCGTTGAGAAGGACGGCGGCAACAAGATCGGCCCTGCCCTGCACGGCCTCTTCGGCCGCAAGAGTGGTACCGTCGAGGGCTACGCCTACACCGACGCCAACAAGCAGAAGGGTGTCGAGTGGAACGACCAGACCCTCTTCGACTACCTCGAGAACCCCAAGAAGTACATCCCCGGCACCAAGATGGCTTTCGGTGGCCTGAAGAAGGCCAAGGACCGAAACGACCTCATTGCGTAAGTTTTTACTCTCTGCGACTCCGATGTCGCGTGTGTTTACATGAACCATGGCTAACCCTTGCATCAACAGCTACCTCAAGGACTCTTGTGCTTAAGCGACCAAAAGACATCGCGTGTAATGTTACGACTTTTTTGATAGACGAGGGACCGCGCCAGGGGGCGATTGTACTTATAGACCATGCAGCACTTAGAAAGACAACGGTGCTTGTACCTATTCCCATCTCCTCTTTATGCGTTTTCTTCGTCCTCCCGAGACAGAGAAGAAGAAGAAAAGCCAGGCGTTGGTTAAGGGGGGCGGAATAGAATCTACGATTTAAAAAATGAATCCGCCCTTTTCATTATCCAGAGCCTTGTGATTTTTTGATGAAGAAAATTAATTGATTGACTGTAATGTCTTGATCTCATGCATTTCCTTGTGTATGACCTTAACGTCATTCCTGGTAGCACCCATGACAACCGAAAAAAAAAAGGGTGGTCGCCGATCTTGCTCTCCCGACCTCCCCGATCCATCTTCTCTTTATCGCCGACCAATCTCAACCATGTAATTTTCGATGACAAGTCATTCACTACAAGTCATGAGCCACCGATAGCCGGGGCGGGTGCGCGGTTTTGAGCTGGTACGAAAAGAAAAAGCTACCAAGATTTTCCGATCATGAGGACAAGCCAACTTTTTTTTTTTTTCTTGTCTTGTTTCTGGTTTAGCTCGCCGAGCTATTTCCGTTGCTCCGGGTGCGGCGAATGCGGCAACAGATTTGCGGCGGATCGGGACCCACGGGATGTCATCGGGGGTTTTTTCTCTTGCCCCTGACTAAGGAGGTGGAAGGGGGTAGTTGATTGGGCTTTGGAGGTTGAGCCATGAGGTGGCTGAGACTTTGGAGGGATGAAGTTGATGATCGACAATGGTTCGCATCATGAATCAACTGAAATGATCATCACATATGGACCATAAGTATTGCTATAAGAAGAGTAATGGACATGATAATACGAAATCCCCATCATCACGATATAAGCAATTATCATCAGAATACATCATTAAATTCTTCAAAAGATGTACAATCTCTAAAGGTATGGTATCAGTTAGACTCCCTCATCTTGGCTTCCAGTTTCCTGTACGACTCTGGGTTGCGCACACTACGACGTGTCGTCGTCAGGGCATATTCCCAGTCCTGCTCATCAATCTCTGGCTTCTTCTTCTCGCCCTTCAACACACGCTTCACAGTGTTCTCGGCAGCCCGGATGTGTAATCCATCCAGATCAGCACCGCTAAAGTCGTCACACCGCTTGTCCCGTGCGACGGGCTCGAGGTGGTTGAGTTCAGTTGGTGTGGCTGATGGATGATTTGTGCGGTAGATGGCGTGTAGGATGTCGACTCGTTCGTCTGTTGTTGGGAGATCCAGGAAGAGCTGAACGCTGAGACGGCCAGGTCGAAGCATCGCCGGATCTATCATATCCGGACGGTTGGTTGTGCCGATGACGTACACGCCAGCACGATCACGAGCGCCATCAAGCTCTGTCAGCAGTGCATTGACAACTCGAGCACCAGCTTCGGTGGAAGAGTTATCACGCCTCGGCACGAGTGAATCCATCTCGTCAAAGAAGAGGATACAGGGTGTGGAAGAGCGGGCGCGGTTGAACAGCTCACGCACAGCACGCTCCGACTCGCCCACGTACTTGTTGAGTAGCTCGGGACCGTTGATGAGGATGAAGCTCGCCTGTGCTTCGTTGGCGACGGCCTGAGCAACAAGGGTCTTGCCACAGCCGGGAGGTCCCCAGAGGAGACATCCAGCTGGGCGGTTGATACCGGCGCCAAGATAGAGTTCTGGGTTCTTGATGGGCCCAATGATGGACATGTCGAGCTGGTTGCGGACCTGCTCGAGGGCACCGACCTGGTCCCATGTGACGCTGGGGATGACTGTGAAGCCTTCCTTGCGGAGCGAGGGCGTGAAGACCTTGATGGCCGCCTTGAAGTCCTCTAGAGTTACCGGAGTCTCAGGGGGTTCTGGAAAAGGTGGACGAGGTGCTTGATCGGCGAGTTCCATAAGGTCTGCTGATGGGTCGATAATAGGTTCGTCCAAGCTGAGAAAGCAGTTCCGATACTCGTCCATGTTCCTGATTCGCTCTATTGTAGCGTCTTGAGCCAGCGTCGTGACAACGACAATATCTGCACCAACGAAGCCGTGTGTCATCTTCGCCAGTGCCTGGAAGTCGACATCCTCGGCGAGTTGCATGCCTCGTGTGATGTGTTTGAAGATATCCTGTCGAGCCTCGAGGTCGGGTATCCTCATCTGAATTGTGCGCTCAAACAAACCCTCTTTCAACACCGTAGGGTCGACATCCGTGATCCTCGAAGTCGTCGCCATGGCCAGAACGTGTCCGTCCTTCTCTTGATCCGCCTTTAGCCGTTGCATCTGTCGCATAAACTGTGTAACGGTCCGACGGTGACTCTCGTTGTGCCCGCTGCCTCCTGGTTTCGACATGTACCAATCGAGTTGCTCAATGAGGACAATACAAGGGGCGAGCCTCATTGCTTCATCAATCGCATCGTTCAAGCTCCTTTCCATGCGTTCAGGGTCCTCAAAGCAACCCCCAAGAGAAACAATTGGGACCTCAAGTTTGGCCGCAAGAGACTTGACCAATGACTTCTTGCCAATGCCTGGCGGGCCTGACAATAGAATACCTGGCACTTTTCGCCAACTCTTGGTCGCATACAACTCGGGCCATTTGAGCGCGGGCTCAGTGATGCGCATTAGGTCTGAATAGATATCGCTCACACCACCGAGAAGTAGAGGATCCGAAGGATGTTCGACTCTGAAGCGGCTTGACTTTGAGGCCTTCTTGGTCTTGTCCTTGTCTGACTTTTCCATGGCCGGCGCATCGGTATCCGTCAAGGCGCCCTTTGGCGTTGTCGCACCGTTCGCTGCTGGTTCTTGGCCATCTTCTTGTAGTCGGCGCTTCTTGACGGCGCGCGGAGCTTCGCTTGTGGTCGTGTTCTGCGGTGTCGAATTCTGGCCCGACGGGCTCTGGGCCGTATGCCAATGCTTCGTCATTTGGCGATTGAGCAAGAATCGGTCGTCCTCGGGTTTCGCCGGTTCCTCGAGAGCAGCCTCTGAATCGCTCGAATCGCTCAATTCTTGCTTTCGAAACTGTAGCACTCGCACGATCGAATCCTCCAAGGGGCGCTTCTTCTGTCGGCTGAGGCTTGAATTGGAATGTTTGATGGCGTCGTAAGCGGTAGAGACGCTCCTGAAAGATTTGCCATCGTTAGCGTCTTCAAGCTTTTTGAGAATCTGGTAGACATCGCGGTCGAGGCCCTGTCGGAGGTTGACTCGGGGCCGTTTGGCGCCCAGCGTCATGACGGTATGGTAGGTATGCGCTTGGAATTGCAGAAGAGAAATTCTGAGATGGGTCCGATCGATAAGATTGTGCAGTGACTGTGGAGAGGCAGAAGATACTTACGTAAGACAGATGGACCAGCACCTCGATGATCGATTGATGAAAGAGGAACATAGGGGGATGGGAGAGGAGAGCAAACAATCAGGTTATATATTCAATATTAGAGTTGGAAAGATTGTTCTGATCAAAGTTTGTTGAGGGAGGAAGGAATCTGGTGAACTTGACAAGGCAGGCGCACCTCATCATAAGGCTAATTTATGCTTTGAGAGAACTCTCTAAGAATTGTACTGTACTTTGAATTATTATGTTCTTCTGATATGATTACCTTAGACAGTCCTCATCACATATTGATGAATATTAAAAAGACTTGCCTAATGCTCATGATTATAATAATTATCAAGAAGTTGTGAATACTTTATGCATTCCTTATCTCAAGCTTTGGAGGGGCCCGCTTATCGATAAAGCTGTGGAACCCTTCTGCGCCCGATGACGATGGTCTCCCTCGTCCCTCGTGACAATCGCCGAGCCGACTCTCGCAGACCCAATCTTGCGCAATTTCACGACAACAATCCCTCTCCAGGCCATTCCACGGCAATTCTAGAAGCCGCGATACTCACCATGGGTGGCAACGCGAGTAAAGTAACAGCCCAGGACAAGTAAGCTTCTTATCCTCTCCCAAACCACTCCGCCATCTCCCTCTCCGATTGCGCTCGTGACTGACTTGCTCCCCCTCCGCTAGGGCGATCCTGGACATGAAGAACCAGCGCGACAAGCTACATCAGTACCAACGGCGCATCAGCGTGCTTACCGACAAGGAGACCGAGGTTGCGAGGCAGATGCTGGCAAAGGGCGACAAGAAGAGGGCTCTACTGGCGCTGCGGCGCAAAAAGTACCAGGAGTCGCTGCTCGCCAAGACGGACGCGCAACTAGCGCAGCTCGAAAAGTTGACGACCGATGTCGAGTTTGCGCTTATACAAAAGGATGTCTTGTTTGGACTGCAGCAGGGAACAAAGGTGCTGCAGGAGATTCATGCTGAGATGGGCGGTATAGAGCATGTGGAGAAGTTGATGGGAGAGACGGCAGATGCAATCGCATATCAACAGGTGAGCATCCCAGGAACCCCTTTGACAATGGATGGTTACTTACGTCCCTCTAGGAAGTTAGCGACATGCTCGGAGGCCGCATCTCGAACCAGGACGAGGAAGAAGTGGAAGAGGAATTACTCGCCCTCGAAGCCGAAGTCGCGCAAGAGTTGCCCTCAGTTCCCATCGCTCAACCGCCCGTGGCAGAACAGAGACAAGAGCAGGAAGCACAGGCAGAAAGGAGAAAGCAACCAGCCATGCTAGCTGCATGAACGAGACGATCATCACATCTTGGACGAGTGCTGCATTTTCGGCGAGTTTATTTTGGTTAACACACTTAGAGATGGGTCTATACAAGCGATCACTTTGAGGCGTTGAGAGGCATTTTGCATTTAAATTCATCAAATTCGACATGATTGTCATTAGTCCTTCTTGCTGCTTTAATCTCCCCGTCCGAACCTGTGGATTAGACCCTTCATCATGGACGTGGCTCCTGATTTATAACCGCCTCCAAACATGGCATAGTGGTTGAGATGATGATATCTGGGACATGTCAGTGTCTTTCACAAGTAGAGGTCAAAGGGGGCTTACAGTTCGTATAGCCTCAGTCGATCCTCCCACTCCCCCGCAGGTTCAGCTGGGGGAACAAGCCGCACATACTCACGCCAAAAGTGAGGAGTGAAGCCTCCAAACATCATCATCATGCCGAGCTCATACTCGGAGTGGCCATAGACAACCGAAGGGTCGTACACAACCTCTTCACAACCACCCTTGCCAGCAATCTGTCCCCTTGAATGGTTGCCGCTCCACAAGTCGCCATGAATAACGACCGGCTTGATGTTTTTGACTTTGTCGTCTCCGATCAACCGCGGGACAACATTGGATGCAACCTTTTCAATGAGCCTTTCAAATTCTGGGTCTGAGCCGTGATTGCGAGCCGCCTCGCGGCTGATGTGTCTGAGACGGTTCTCGGCGTAAAAGTCAGCCCACGACTCCTTCCACGAATTGTCCTGCTCAGTAGATCCGCAACATGTTGGGACGTGGAAGCCAAACATGGGCTTATCGTGGCCTTCTGGAATGGGTGCGGGTGTTGTGTGTAGCTGGGCGAGCTTTGCAGCGAGGGTCCTGCCCGTGCCACCAGGGGCTGAAGATCCCAAGTCCAGGAAGTCAGTCACAAGGAAGAAGTGTCCTTCGCGGTTGGCTAGGGCTCCATGGGCGTGAGAACGAGGACAGAAGTTGGGGACTGTATCTGCGATGGCGTTGAGTGAGGCGTGTTCACCTATGAGTGTTAGAGGATATAGTTGTGAGAGTAGTTGGATAGAATATATACCTCGAAACATGATCTCAGCCTCCTTTCCAGGGCCAGTCTTTACAAAGTAGTTGACTGGCTTCCCGTCAACGGTCGTTGATATCTTGAAAGTCGACGCAAAGCCTGATCCGCCATGAGAAGCGATGGACGAGCACGCGGGGTCCAGCCCGAGCGCCTCGATGATGGCGGGGTCAACCTTGGTATACGGCATGACGAAGAGGTAACGAGAGAATGCAGTCAAGAGATGTTTCTGCAAATCTATCAATGTTGTAAAGCCGCTGATATGACGCCCATGTCTCGAGAGCGGGATTGTATTGTAGGCTAAAAGGACGTGGGATGAGGTGACGTCAAAAGCCGGGGGATTACTTAATGACGAAAGAGAACTTGGCGGCAGATAGAGTGGCTTATTTTATGCACGAGTAAACGGGTCATGCAATGCAAAAAGGGTCCAAGTTTAAGCAACCCGTGATGGTTAAAATGTCTTTCTATCGTACGATCTAGACTCTATTCATTCGTTGCTTTCTTAGATTAGAGGCGGACTCTTGTTCGGCGCCGGGAGGGCTCCACTCTTTTCCCGGAGGTGTCCCGGTTCTACGGCCGGTGAGTGAATTGGTTTAGGTGAGGATCAATTCTGGAGAAACAAGGTTTCTGGGGTAGTCGGGTTTTTATGAGATGCAGGTATAACGTGTTGATCAAGATAGGTAGCCCTATGAGGCTGAGTTGAGACTCACTGGTGTTGAATGGTCTTAAAACCATGTCCTGAGGAGAGCGTGAGAATCCAAATCTGAATCAGACCTTGGGAAAGAAAGCTGCCCAAGATTTGCTCCCAGACTTACTTCAAAACTTGAAATATCTCGACTAGACAAGGCCATCGGAGGGAATATGTAATATGGTGAGACCTTCAGCCCTCTGCGCTGTCGGCCCCTCAAAGCACGCCATCGATACTTGGGTACGAATAGAGTAAGAGGGGTCTGCGACTGTCTCACCAACACGAGTCGCCATCAAGATGAAAACGGCCTTTACCAACGTTCCCTCAAAAGGAGAGACGATTTAGAAGCCTGTCGAATGTTAGGTGAGGCTTGTGACACAACAGGCCACAATTTAGCAGCCTACCTGGATCGGTCGGAACTCAACTACACCTTTCCGACTTGAGCGACCTCGGCTCACCCAAGGCAAACCAATTCATCCAACATCTCGATCAACACGCTCAAAACTGGGCTTTTCAAGAAACAATGTTTATGACACGGGGCATGCGTCAGGGTCCTTATCGGCATTATCTCTCCCTCGAGGTCGAGCCGGCCGCCGCGACTCTGGCGTCTGTCGCTGCATCCGGTGATGTTGAACGGCTCCGATGCTTCCTGGCCGCCGAGGAAGAATCACCTCCTTCTGAAGCAACTATTCAATACCTATTAGCATCCGCATCATGGGCCGAAGAGATCTCGGTCGTTGAGTATCTGCTCGCCGAGTATCCGCCCGGTAAACTCGCCGAGGAACCTATCCGGGCCGCCATCTACTCGGGCTCAATGCCGCTCGTATCGGCCTTCCTCCGGGTGGACCCTGACATCTTGACGATGCAATACGACCGTCAAGGTTCGGCACTTATCGCCGCATGTCGGAGTCGTCAGCGGCCCGAGTTTATCAGATTCCTCCTCGAAGCCGGCGCCGACCCAAACCAGGATCCCGACTGCGCCTTTCTTCCGCCGCTCGGATGGGCTGCTGGGTGGTATCAGAAAAGTTATCCCGGGATAGAGGTGGTCGACATGTTGCTCAACTATGGAGCCGAGACTGAGCACTCAGGGGCACTCCGGTGGGCGGCGAGGGGGAACCATGAGGATGTTGTGCGGCGTTTGTTGGAACGGGGAGCAGACCATGAGAAAGATTCGGCAGAACATGCCGAGCTACGGGGAAAGCAAGCGTTAGCTCTTCATGAAGCGGCTGGGAGGGGATACATTGGAGTGATGAGGGTACTCCTCGAGCACGGAGTGGATGTAAACTGTAAGAGTTCTAATGGTAAGACGGCATTGGAAGAGGCGGAACAGATAGAAGAGGTGACAGGGGCAGATCTTTCAGCGGCCAAGGAGTTATTAAGGAGTTGGAATCAAGTGCAAGCATAGAGATAGAACAAGTTGGAATAATTGTTTGCATATTATACCCCTCGACTTCGGTCTCAGGTCGGACCACGTCAAGTCAGAGAGTCATTATTGGTATCCAAAAACCCAGAGCACAAAAAAGAAAAAAGACGCTCTTAATAAACTTTGCTGTTTGTTTTCCCTTTCAAAAACGCCACGCTCGGTGCTGTTATTTTGCGCTGATAGCTCTTCCGATAAACCCCATGTTGTGTTGTAGTTGTTTATTGCTTGGCGGTCTCGATATGTGACACGGTGGTGACTGTGGTACCGCTTGAGATGGACGAAGTTTCAGAGTCGGCACGTCTCCGCTCGGTGGTGGATGTGGTGACGGAGAAGGAGGCCGAGTTGTTGGTGTGGGAGCCGCCGTTGAAGCAGGTGGTGCAGGGGCAGACGGGGGTGTTTGTGAGGGGAGGAGGAGGAGCGCAGTGGCGGGCGAACCAGTTTCGGGCGGCAGAAGGCATGTTGAAGGTTTGTGTTTGTGGTGGTGGTTGTAGTGGTTGTTTGGTGATGTTGATGGTCGAGGTGTGAATGTGTACTCGATTTGATGTGTGTAGATGTTTGTAGATGTCTTGATGTAAACTGAACTGCTCAGAACAAAAAGACTCCAACACTGGAGGACTCCCCAGGGTATTTATGCCCTCCCTCTTTCATCCGAGGTCATCCAACATGTCCCTCCCAACGTGTGTGTGTGCCTGTGCGTTGCGGCAACAGTGGAACCCGGGAACAAGCCGAGAACACATTTTGATCTCTTTGCCTACAGGTGAAGGGTGTTCCTCAGTGGAGATGTGATCCCGGGTGGAGCAGGGGTGTGAGGTGAGAGGCGAAACTTGGCCGTCAAGGGGAAAAAAGCCCAACACCGAGACACGTCCGGCGGCCGGATCTCAAATGTGGGACTCTTTTCGTACGAGTCCGTCTCTACATGGTGATGGCCTCAGTTTTTACCGCGTCTTCAAGTACGTTTTATCTGTCTCTCATAGAATACCCCAAGAGCACATTAAATAGCTCGACCGCTTCCTTTTCCCCAGAGCCAAGACTTTCAGCGCACCATGAATGGTCCGTTTTTTTTCCCCTCACAAGGGAAAAATCTCCATTTCCCCGCGTTTTAACCCTCCCTGCCCAAGCCATTTGTCTGGAGAAATAGCCAAGACCATCTGGGATTGGAGGAAAGTAATGAGAAATGAGACGACGGCAGTAGGCGCGGCAAGCGAAAGAATTATACAAAGTAAGCTTATAGGTTGTTGAGGGTTTTGTGGCTTTGGTCTTGTGATTGGAGTATCAGATGTTGTGTAGAGGTGAGGTAAAGTCACGGGGGAGAGACTGCGAGTGATCAGACCAGCGAAAGAGTGGCTTATTTCCGTTGTAAACTGCCATTTCCGCTAGTGATGATTTGCTAGTTCGATATGTACAGTGAACAGGTTAGAGGCTGACTTGCCAAGGCTTGATGTTGGAGTTGTAGATCATAGATGAAGCTATTTCAACAACTAAATGAACTTGAACATTAAATAAATGGATCAATAGTGCTATTCTGCTTGATTATGAAGATACGTATATATTTGCCTTGTTCTCTTTTAATATTCATTCATTCATCAACACTTCTCCTCAAATGGTTCACCTTGACCTTGACCTCGTGATATCATCATCACCATCTCAACTCAAACAACACATCTCCCGTCCCTGCATCCACCCAGATCTAAGATTAAACCACCCCTTGCCCATCCATCGGCCTTTGATCGGTATTCGCAAACATACACCCCCATGCGGCTCTTCCGTCACCGTGTCGCTTCTGGCAAAAAGGTGGATCTGGAAATGTCTGTCCTTGCTGCAATTCCCGGCCGTCCTATCCCATTACACGAACCGCATCCACCAGACTCGTAATCATTGGTTGGACGGGTCAGCCCGGTTGACAAGATATGGAAGCAGAGAGATTAAAGACGTCAGGAGATTCGGGTTCGATCCAATTGATTGCCTTGAAGGGTTACAAAATCAAGGGGACCCGCGGAGGCGCGCGGGAAGACCGCCGCCGTGGGGCTCTTTTCCTCTTCCTGGTTCTGAGGAATAACCGAGGATAAGAAAAGCCTGAAAAGTGATGAATAGCAAAGAAAATTCTTTTTTTACAAGGCTGTTACCTATCTCTGACTCATGAGAATGTTCCAGTGAAAAATTACGTCAAGTTCACTCGATAAAAAAAGAGTTTTAAAATCTCGAGCTTGAGAGACATGTAAGGATGTTGATCAAGTTTTTTGAGGCTGAAAATGGCGTGGCAGATCAACCAAGCCCAATAACGTGGTGGTGTGTGGCTGGTGACGCCAACGCTTCAGCCATAATCCAGGATCCCTTCTCTTCAAGGATCTTGACCTCTCTTTTCTCAACAATCAACAAGAAAAAGAGACGATTTTTTACAGGCATCTCCTTGTTATCCATGACAACTAGGCTCGTCCCTGCTCACGGAAGAGAAACGAACAATCCGACAAACGTGTTTCCACTACAAACCTCTCTTAAAGATTCATGGCACCATTCCCCTTCCACCCGAGACGTCGATAGCCGAGCCTGGACCGAACAGTCACACTCATATCACCCCCTCGACCCCGAAATCTCACATCTTGTGTGACAAGTGAGGAAACACACGCCATAATCTGTCTCTTATCTGAATCTTCTCCTTTTAGACGCCTTTTTCAGAAACGACTGGTGGATACTCGTAAAGAAGCTTGTCTTTAAGAGTTTTTTTTCTCGTCCTCTTCGTCATCCCGCTGAAGCGTCCCCTGTCGCTCAGGCACCACGCAGCCCTGGCCCAACTTCATGACCAAGAATGGCTTGCTCATCCGTTTATCCACCATCAGAATCTCTATATCCGGCATGATCTGATCATCATTCATACGCCACTAAGAAACACAATCAATGGTTAGCAAGTGTCGACCAGAACAGTATACACAAATATGGGACACCATCAACATGGACCACTATCATGGACCAGGACATAAACGACCGCGGAATCATCTTATTCGAGGCCTTCGCCCGTATCCTTTGATCCGTCCTTCTATTGAACCGTTGGACCCATTCAAAGGCATCAAAATCATACGCCTTGCGAGCCGCGACCTCCAAGGCGGATCGATCGATGCATGCTAATTAAAAACAGAAACACCCTCCCGTATAATCTCCAGTCTGTTCTCCCCGTCTTGCGGAGATTCAGCACTCGGGACTCTAGCCTCAGATCGTTATTACACCATGTTCAACCCTCGCCCCATATATCTGGTTTGCGACTGTGTCGCTTAGATACCCAGGGTAAACTCGACGCCGACATCGATATCGCGAGCTGCGAATCCGTTAGCACTAGGAAACATGTATTCCTGACAGTTAACTTACCGAGCTTGACGACCTTGGACAGCTGCACTGCCTTCTCGGCGGCGCTTTGTAGGTCATCAATGGAGAAAATCTTGAGACCAGAGTCGTTGATGAGCTGGTGGGCAGCATCGACGTTGGTACCCTGGAGACGGGCAATGATGGGGATCTTGAGGTTCAAGCTCTCGACAGTCTTGATCAGACCAGTGGCAATGGCATCACATCGCACGATACCGCCAAAGATGTTGACAAAGATGGCAGTGACCTTGGCGTCGCTGGTGATGAGCTCGAAAGCCTCCTTAATGGCGGCAGGAGTGGCACCACCACCAACGTCGAGGAAGTTGGCGGGCTGACCACCGTTCAGCTTGATAATGTCCATGGTGGCCATGGCAAGACCGGCACCGTTGACGAGGCAGCCAATATCACCATCGAGCTTGATAAAGTTGAGGTTGGACTCGGCAGCGCGGACCTCATCAGGGTCCTCCTGGCTGGTGTCGCGCCACTCAAACACATCCTTCTGTCGGAAATCGGCATTGTCGTCGAAACCGAACTTGGCGTCCATGCAGAGAACCTGGTGGTCGGAAGTCTCGGACAGAGGGTTGATCTCAATCTGAGTCGAGTCCTTCTCGTTAAAGATCTGGTAGAGCTTCTGGATGGTGTCCTTGGCCTCCTCGATGCACTGCTCGCTGAAGCCGAGCTTGGTGGCGATCTCGCGGGCAATCTCGTCAGTCACACCAACGTTGATATCGATGTAATTGGTGTTGATGGCACTGGGGTTCTCCTTGGCGACAGTCTCGATATCCATTCCACCCTGGGAAGAGGACACGATGACGGGGCACTGGTTTTGACGATCCATAAGGATGGCCAGGTAGAACTCGCGACGAGCAAACTTGCGCTCGCAGATGTAGACAGAGTTGCAGAGACGGCCGCCAGCACCCGTCTGCTTGGTGATGAGGTTGTAGCCGATCATCTGCTGGGCAAACATCTCGGCCTCGTGGGGAGAGTAGATGACACGGACACCGCCCTTGAGGCCATTGTCGAAAGTACCCTTTCCTCGACCGCCGGCAAGGACCTGGGCCTTGATGACCATGTCCTCGGTGCCAATCTGCTCAGCGACCTGCTTGGCCTCCTTGGCCGTCTTTGCGACAGCTCCCTTGGGGACACCGACGCCATACTGTTGACATCATAGGTGGTTAGCCACAGTTTGTTCGTGCATGCATGTGAGGTCAGAGCACATGATGAGCGGGACGGCGAAGTGGCCCCATTGTTTGGCTCGCGATAACGAAGACGGTCGCAAAAGGGGGACAGGATGGGACGAGGAAGCTCTTACCTGTCGCAGGAGGTCGGCAGAGAGGTACTCGTGAATGCTCAGAGCTCTCCTTTGTTGAACGCCGGGGAATCGAGCGGCGGGAGCAGCAAATTGGAGCTATCGTAGATTCGACGTCAGCAACCACACCACATGCTTGTTCTCATGCGAGATCGAGACGTACCTTGGAGGCGTTGAGGGCCGAAGCCACAGCACGACTACGGCCGAGCTTGAACATTGTGACTGATGGAGGGGAGATTGGCGAGGAGAGATGTGAGGGAGGCAGAAGATCGTGAGAGAGAAAAAAAAGAGGTTTTTCGGATGATGAGGACCAAGCTGTCAAGTCAAAAGCCTGCTTGATCAAGTTCAAGTCAGGAGCCAACTGGAAGCCCCCAACGGACCACCCGCCCAAAAACGCAGACGAAAGGCCCTTGGTGCGCCCCACCTTTTCTGGCACGGGATTTGTCGGGCTAGGGACGCGGAAAAGATATTGACCGAGGTACCCAGCCCACTAACCGGGGAATCGACTCCTTGTGACGACAGTGTGCAGGGCCCAGAAAGGTGTCCTGATAAAGCCTGTGGTAGCCGTCAAAGGTGAGTTGATTGTAAATTGGTGTTTTGAGTCGTTTCTTTGACATTTCTGGCTGTTTTCTACGATGCTATACTTTGGTTGTGACTTGTAACAATCTCATCTACCACCCTCGTCTATCGCCTCGGCTCACATCACACCCAAACAACCGTTCCCAAGACCTCGTCATCCTCGGTGACCATGATCCAGTTGCCGTGCGCGTGGGACCCCCCTCCAGGATCTTGATATCTCACAGGACCTTTCTCTCGCAGATTGGACGCACAACATCCACTTTTTAGTAACCGGCAGCACTAACTTACTCTTTCGCTCTCCTCGGCACAAGACCACCGAGGCCAAATTGACTGACATGCGGCACTTGAAGTCGGTCATACAAGTCCGTTTGAAACAATTCAAGGTGAACGAGCGAATAGTTTGCGTAAAACGCCTCCGGGATTCGGCTACAACAGGGCTTCTCTCGGTGCGTGGTTGACCGAGCCCTGGTCCACATGGACCAAGACGTCCAGGACCCGTTCGTTGTTTAGCGCCCACGGGAGTTGACTTTCAAGAGACCGAGAGTGCTTTTTAGATCTCGTATGACGGATATTTGAGGGTTGTGCTTTTTCGAAATAATTGTTTTTATTACCGACTATTTCCTGAGTGTTGCGGTGTATCATTCAAAGATGCAACATCAACCATCCCATTCATATCAAGAACCTTGCCATGACCATTCTAGAATCCTAGATAACCCTGCAGAACTCGTCGTATCATACCAGATACTCCTTAGACAATACCAAACTCCAATAACAAGCATCATACAAAGCCTTGAAACGGCGTACCAATAACCTTTCCCTTTCCATCAAACCTCACTCCCTCACTCCTCAACAACTTCTTCTTCTCATCAATAGTAATCCCCTCTCCATCCTTTGGCCACTTCCCCTTGAATCCTCCGAGTGCTCCCCCCGTAGCCACGACCCGGTGACACGGCACCCCCGGCGCGAACGGGTTACGCCTCAACGCGTTGCCCACAGCTCGTGGTGAAGACCCCATATGCGCAGCCATGAGGCCATAGGTTGAAAAGGATCCTTTGGGGATCTGGCAGAGGAGTGTCCATACTTGCTTCTCAAAGGCTGTGCGGTCGGAGGAGGTAATGAGGGCGAGTTGGGGACGCATGGAGTCTGGGACGGGTGAGGGTTTGGTGGAAGCTGGTGTAGGTAATGATGTCTTTTTGACTTTGGTGGCTTTGGTCTTGCGTTCCTGGACGGGTTCTTCAAGAGGTCGTTTAGCATTTGCTGCCATGGCTTGGCGGTATATCACAGGCGTGTTGTAGGTGGGTTTAAGATGCTGAGTGAACGTCGCCAGTTGTCAGACCAGAAAATGAGCCTTGATGATTATGAATATGATTGTTGTTTCAATCTTTCGTTCTTGACGCGATGCTCATGTTTAAATACACGGCGAAGAGAAAAGATGCGTCACGCGAAAGGGCGTAAACGACGCCAACATCTAAAGCAACACACATCGCGAAGTCATGTGATCTCCAAGATTTGTCATAACATCCCAACCCTTGTTGCTCTGAGTTTCTCATCGTTTGCCACCGTTCTACACATGTAAAACGGGACACCATTCAACTCTTTGGAATCATGTTTGACTCGGTGTTGAAGGCTCAAACAACTCTGCCTTGCCTGGGGTCATAACATGAAACTGGAACTCCCATTCCAACAACAAGACAACGTGGCCGAGTGGTTAAGGCGATGCCCTGCTATCTTGCATATCTAGGCATTGTGTTCGCACGCGTAGGTTCGAATCCTGCCGTTGTCGATTTCCTTTTTTTTGCCATTTAAAACGGTTCTTTTAGTCCTAGAATGTTGTTTTCTTCATGATACACATGTTTTGGTGTTTTTTCTTTTGTCAATTTCCTTTTTTGATCAATCTCGATCGGTTTCGGGCCGGGTGGGGCCGCGATCTTGCCTTTGCATGTGCTTGCCTAAGTCTTAGACCAGACGAGCAGACAGTGAGGAAGGAGCGGCTCTTCACTCATGCATGTGGGCTGATCCATGTTAACTGAAGAGGCACCGTCCAAGCGAATCCATCAGCAAGTGTGTAGGTAGAAGGAGGCATGAATGGTGTCACAGTATCGCTTGAATAGTAGATGAATGTCTCAACTCTCTAACGATTAACCGGGTGTCTTCTACCTTCAAGATGGCTACCCTCGCTGCTCGTTACATCGTTGTTCCCATCTTGTTTCGTCAGATCTTCTCCATATGTCCCTGGACCAATGTCTTTAACTTATCCCCTGCTTGTTGTTCGATACGGTCTCGACTATCCTTGCTGGTGACCTTCGAGCTTCAGCATCACAATCAGGCCCAGGTGATTCAGATCAACATGGCAGAACAAATAAGATACGTTCACTTATTCATAAATGGACCATGCTGATGTCATGACATAGCCATTTCTATTCCGTACACAAGGTACGCTGATATAAATGCTCTTCAAGAGGCAGGTAGTCTCTCCAATCTAACCCAACGCCATTGATTATGCCGGTTCCAGGTCCTCGGCTCCCATGCCTATCCCCGCCGGCTCCCATTTTTCATGTTACAAGGCACAACTCATAAATGCCGCTCCGCGTGCTGTTTGTTGGCCCAAGTGTTGCAGGGTCCTACCCCTCGTAGGGTGGCCTGTACTTTGTGGTTTCCAAATAATCCCGGACTCGCTTCCTTTGAACAATGACTCGTGTCTATAGGTTGACGTCGTCTCGTGTGAGGAAATGTCGTCCTCAGTTGCTATTCCGTCTAGACCAAACGCCGGCCATGTTTCAAACCATAAAAGACTCTCCACAGCCGCACTGTTCCTCTGTTGCAATCGTTAGACCCATGTTAAAGTACCGATTGAGAAAAACTTACTGATGTTGGGATTCCGGAACACAAATCGCTGGTTAAGCTTGTCCTCGGCCCAGTCCATCTCACTTCCAATGATGCTAAACAGCGCCTTGCTGTCGATCAAAACCTTGACGCCGTCCTGTTCCACCGTCTCATCAAACGCACCAGGCTTATCCACATATTCAAGGTGGTAAGCCAGACCGCTGCAACCTCGGTTCCGAACGCCGACTTTGATCAGCTTGGGGTCGGGCTGGTCGAGGAGTTCCCTCAATTGCTCCACGGCGGCGGGCGTCAGCTTCATGGCCGCCTTACGGGCTCGTAGCTTTGGTCGTGGCCGGGCAGCCTTGGGCTTCTGAGCCTCCTTCTCGTTGAGCTTCGGAGCTGGTGCCGAAGCCTTCTGTGTGGCGGGGGCAGCATTTTGTGAGGGTGCCTCTTGTTGCGGTTGAGGTTGCTGAGGAGGCTGGGGTCGTTGAGGTTGTTGAGGAGGAGGGCGTGTCTCATGGACTTTAGGAAGAGGATCGGGTTGAGTTATCGAGGTCTCGGGGACGTCATCGCCTCTCGGAGGCGGAGCGTTGTGGGAGGGAAGTGTGTAGGGATGGTAGGCGACGGCGACAGGCCGGGACGAGGAGAAATACCTCACGGCATTGGGAGCGCGTCGCAGTGCGACTCTGGCTACCGATCGAGTAGCGAACATTGTCGGGGCATGGAGATGAGTTGTAGTCTCAGGTTGGTGTTGACTGTAGATGGATGTTGAGAATTGGAGGTCAAAGGTGGATTTCAAAGCCGGCTGCTCGGTGCTAAAAGGCGTTTGCAGCCGGAGAGCCGAAGGGCAAGGCTTGTACGTCAGGGAGCCACGCCCGATGTGGCCCGAGCCAATCAGAGGTTGAGAATTACTCAGTTTTCTGCGCACTGTGGCGTGACCTGGGCGAGGCGAATTTCTCCGCGACTGGGGAATTGGTGCTGTATTATCTCAGGCATGACAAAGATGGCATTGCAATATTGCCACTGTGGTTTATTCTTTGAGTCTGGGTTTTGCGACGTGTTCAATTGACCAATTGCGATTTTGGTATTGGCTTGACAAGGACTCTGACCTACGTAGATTGACTTGGTCATGCTCAGTCGGCGATGACTCCGCGGAAACATTTCTCGGCAATGACTGACAAATATTTCAAGTTGTTGCCGAACCTTGATGGCACCAAGAAGCTCAATGTTTGTTCACACAAGTTGAAACACCTTGATAGAATTGAGCAGACCAATCCCGTCAGGATAATACAGGACACACAAAACGGTCAACCGTCCACAGAAGAAGACATCAACCAATGCCCAGTTACCGGTTTGCATAGGATTCGCCGAGTAAAATCCGGGGAAAGATGCAATCTTGGTTCTCAGCCACTGATTCGACGCAGGCACCACACCCGTTTAACCTTGTCCTAGTGAGGTTCGCAGCCAATGTGATGGCTTGAAGAAGCCGAGGGATCTATTCACCGATGGACGGAGTACCAGATTTCAAGCACGCACGATACCAACAGACTCGATCACCGATCCATTTTAGTTGGCATTACTGTTCATCACCTCAAAAGTTTTGAACAACTGCCGAGATGTCTCTGCGTCAATTACATGTTAGGCTAGGTCTCGTGACGGTAACCTCAGTCATTGAGGACCTCTCATGATCACCACAGGCTCTTCCGGGCTGTTGGTTGAGTGTCCTTGTCCCAACACTTTGGTTTCCATAATGGTTCTCTGAATCTGTTATACCCACAACCATCATGAACGCAACCTTGCCGCATGGACTTATTCCGTCACGTGCACAGAGTGTAACATGGAGAACCATCAGACCACACTGATTGTTCCTCTGACGTTGCAAATAGCCATCATTTAAAGAAAGAGGCAAGTAACAACACCAAAGATAAGAATCACCACAGAGTAAACCTCGGCAATGAACCAGATACTTCAACTTTTTTGGTCACGAGTCCATGGTAATGTTGACATGGTTCCCCATGCCGTTCCCAATAATCACCCTTGCTGCGTTTCGCTGGATGGAACCGATGGTTACCGAATGCAACTTGTCAAGGAGAAGTGACCATTTGAGCCAAGAGGAAGATCAATCCGGGGCCCAGTGGCAGTTGACCGCTCAACGGTGCGACATTCGATATCAGGAGTTGGGGACATGGCCGGGTCGGTGTAACCTGAAAACGGTCGGTAACGGTATCTGGCTTGATGCAACCCCGGACAACCGCGTCACAGGACCATCCGAACAGTGTGTGGCTGCCCGTTGAGGACCTCTGCCAGGCCGCTGGAACCAAGGTTCGGCAACGGGCGATAGCTGAACCTTTCGATGGAGCGCACAAGGAAACGTTACATGCGGATAAGGCCCAGCGGCGCCAGGAACCGAAGTTGTAGGGGCGGCTACTAGCGAGAGCAGGGGCTCCAGCCGCGGCTCACGGGGGCTAAGCTAAATTATCTGTTGCTGTTCGGGGAGGAAATGTCATTCATAATGTCGGGCTTTGATACGAAAGAGTACAAGGCGGCGAATTATGGAGCCCGGCCACTGAGTTGATCAGGAGTCAGCACTTGGGAATGATTCTGCCAGCCACGACCTCGTAATGGTGAGTTGCCTTCGTATTGGAAAAAAAAGAACAACTCAGATAGATAATGGCAAGTATTAAGAATGGGAATCGGGTTATCTTGGTCACGAGAAGGCAAGACGTTTTACAGGTTTGCCTCGTTGGTTGGGCAGAGGATGCCTTCAGTGAAGCAGTCGCTGGCTCTGGGGGTGCCCAATCACGAGGCCAGGCATTCGGCCCTTTCCCCTCTGGAGGTGGGTCACCCTTATCGATCTGGGGATTCTGCCACTGTGAGTGAAGGTGCAGATGCAAGCTTTGGTCCAGGCCAATCTTGCAGCTAAACATAGCATCCAGCATCGAGTCATTGATGAGTAGGTATCGTGAAGATGCAACTTTCGTCAAGAAGAGGCATAATGAAGAGCATTGCCTAGAACATGCTTCGTGGCGGTCGAGATGCTTCAGAGTAAGAAAAAAGTAAAGCGCAACGTGATCCTCGCATTGTAAAAGGAATCAGATGAGGGTGAGGTTGAACCAACTGTCCAATCCTAGGGCATTCAACGGGCTGTTTCAACTGCCTTGACCCATGTATCGACAGATGGAGGCTTTTGATGAAGCTCGGGAGGATTTGTGAGCTTGGGCCTGACCACGATCCTCATTTTGCTGATTGCCAGCAAGGGTTTACCATACGGACGTTTCCATTAGGGGGGGCGAATACCAGTAAAGCTTGTTGATGATGGCGTCCAGCGCCTCTCGAGTTTATTTGCAGAAGCTGACGGGTCGCTGACAGTGGCTGACAGTGCCAGCCTCAGTCGATTTCCATATGCACGCGATCAGATTCCTCTTCCTTCGTGCTTCTCAGCTCAGCTTCTAGACCCTCGAATCTACTGCATTCCTGATTCCATCTTTGCTTCCCTCGTGCCACAGCAACCGATCATTTGTCTCAGTTAGAGAGATTTCCACCTCTAGCGACAAACAGTGCCTTTGATCGAAGAAAGAAACGGTACGACGTAACGCAGCATTCGTGAGCAACAAACAAAAAAACACCCGACGAGCAATCACAAACGTTAGTTCGCGAGGAGAGTCAAAACACCTGCTCTTCACAGCTTGGCTCATTGATCGCCTCTGCAACCGAGACAAAAGCATCATCTCCAGATACCCACCTCCACACTCCACGCATCGTCAACTTCACCCCGCGCTGTCACGTAGCGTGTGTCGTCTTTGTAAGTGCCTCTGTTTGCGTCGCTCCCGTACCCGTCCGTTGGATGGAGATGTACATGGTGGTAGTAGTGCGCCACTCTCCGATGGGCATATCCCCCATCCAAAGAAAGCCGCACCACTCCGCCCTGCTCCAGTACCACCTTTATCCACCTCACCTCACACTTGCTTGCTCCGACCGATAGCTGGGGGAGACACAGTCCACTGTTACCTGCCATCGGCCCTTGACCCCTGGCTGTGCGACTCGAACGGCACCTCACCTTGTGACAGGGGTTATTTTTGGTCTCTTTGCACGTCGCCTCGTGCCCTTGTCTCTCCACAGCCAGAGACTACTTGATGGCCCCTTCTCCCCCCGACTACTACTTTAATTCGACCCAAGGACGCGTCAATTCGGTATTCACTGACACTCTTGACTATCAGGTTACACTCGATACTCAATCACTATCGAGTTCTTCATCAATTGTTCCCCCAGCTCTAGAGATTTCCGTCTCGGAGCTTGACGTAGGGCCCTGACCCTTTTACACTAAAACTAATCGACACTATCGACGCCATCCATCTTTCTTCATCATGGCTACCAACGAAAAGGCCGATGTAACCCACTCAGCAGCAGACGGCGGCGACAATGCCCCCGCGACAACTACAGACGGCTTCCGCCCTGCAGGATGGATGTACAAGGGCTTCAAGGCAGGCCGCACTGAGCTCTGGTATGCTTCGCCAAAGGTGCAGCTCTTGATGGTTTCCCTCGTCTGCTTCATGTGCCCTGGCATGTTTAATGCCTTGACTGGTCTCGGCGGCGGCGGACAGGTTTCCAACGAGGCACAGGATCATGCCAATACCGCCCTCTACAGCACTTTTGCCGTTGTTGGTTTCTTTGCCGGAACCTTTGCCAACCGACTGGGTCTTCGTTTGACCCTCTCCATCGGAGGACTGGGATACTGCGTGTATGCTGCTTCGTTCCTGTGCTTCACTCATACCCAGAACATGGGCTTTGTTGTCTTTGCTGGTGCACTGCTTGGTGTTTGCGCTGGTCTTTTGTGGACCGCTCAGGGCGCCATCATGATGTCGTATCCTCCTGAGCACAGCAAGGGACGTTACATTTCCTGGTTTTGGGTTATTTTCAACACGGGTGCTGTTATTGGCTCGCTCGTGAGTTCCAGACTATTCACTCAGAGTTGGTGGTTACTAACATGGTATCTCAGATCCCATTGGCTCAAAACATCAACAAGAAGGCTGGCCCTGTCACTGATGGCACATATGCTGCCTTTATCGTTCTCATGTGCGTCGGTGCTGTCCTGGCTCTCTTCATCTGCGACGCCGACAAGGTGGTTCGAGAGGACAACACCAAGGTCATTGTCATGAAGAACCCATCTTGGAGCACCGAGATCAAGGGTCTGTGGGAGACTCTATACGACGCCCCCTGGGTCGTGCTCCTCTTCCCCATGTTCTTCTCGTCCAACATCTTTTACACGTACCAGAACGTTGACATGAACCTCGCCCACTTCAACACCCGAACCCGCGCCCTCAACAACCTGCTCTACTGGCTCGCCCAGATCATCGGTGCCCTCATTGTCGGCTACGGCCTTGATGTAGCGAGCATCCGCCGCAGTCTCCGTGCCAAGATCTCTCTCATCGTGCTCTTTGTCCTGACATTTGCCATCTGGGGCGGTGGTTACGCCTGGCAGAAGGACCAGACACCTCGTGAGGTTGCCATGGACGCCAAGAATGAGGATCAAAAGGTTGACTGGGAGGATGGCGGCAAGCGCTTCCTTGGTCCCATGTTCCTCTACTTCTTCTATGGCTTCTTTGATGCTGCTTGGCAAACTTGCATTTACTGGTACATGGGTGCTCTGTCCAACTCTGGCCGCAAGACTGCCAACTTTGCTGGTAAGTATTCGTTTTCACAATTTAGAACAGATTATTAACAAATATTTCAGGCTTCTACAAGGGCATCCAATCTGCTGGTGCCGCCATCTTCTGGCGTCTCGACGGCATCGGAAAGCCCTTTGACACCATCTTTGGTGCCACCTGGGGTTGCCTCGCCGCCTCCCTCCTCATCGCCGCACCCGTAATCTTCATGCGCATCCAAGACACCGTCTCCATCGAGGAGGATCTCAAGTTCAGTGATGAGACGATTGAGGATGTCATTGCCGGTCCTAAAGACAAGAAGGTTATTGACCCCGAGTCTTAAAGAGAATGCAAATTATGGGCATATACAAACGGTGCTTTTAACGCAAAAACTTAATTTTAACGGATCTGGCGTCTATGTGCGTCTAGGCGATTGGTATGGAAATGGGATGGGATGGAATGGATGATACCTTTGGGAGCTTAGATTTAAGCAAGGGAATGATGTTGCATGGAGTTGTCTGTAATTAATGAAGATGTATGACTTTCTAAACGAGGCAAAATATCACAAAGTTGATCTGTCATGCATTCGTTCCTCGTAATTTGAAGAGAGTAAAGATTAACATGTACATGGTTGAGATTTATGTTAATCATGGTAAGGTGGCAGGTGTTTAATACACCAGCTTAGCTATTTGACATAGTACTAGGTAAGGCTATACAGCCATCCTCCTTACGTGATTATCAGCGTTGCTCGATGATTTTACTCAACGGTATGCCAAAGAGAAGAGAGGAGAGATCCAAAGTGAAAAGAGTTTCCAAATCTCTTACAACCTTGCTCCCCAGGGGCTTCGATGCTTATACTACCTACTCAATGCTGATGGGAGGATGTACAGGTGGAGGCACAACATTGGTGTAAAGCCAATGTAAGATTGCTACCATGATGGCTCTGACAGGCAAAGATCCTAATCCCAGTGTGTTTGGTCACACTGCTAAACTGGCAAGTTGACGGTGATAATGCTACTCAAGACTTCAAGTCAGACAAGGATGATTTGTAATGCCTTGAGCAGCAATATTTAAGAAAAAGTCCAAGAGTGATGTTGGCATGCCAAACGTCCGCTCCCTTGATCAAGGGGCTGAGTGATGAGACCAACACATCATAAGGAATTCATTCTTCCAATTGACATCAAGACATCACAATACATCACATGGCAAGAGGAACAATATTGAGGACAATGAATCCTATTTCTTCGTTTTATTCTTTCAGTCGTTCCTATGCGGAACCTTTCCTTTTGATCTTTCTGTTATTCCCATCCTCTTTTATCCCACTCCATCCCAGGAGCAGAAACAAACGGCCAAGGTCGCCGTCTTGATCGTACAAGAAAAGTAGATACACACGTACAACCCAGCCATGCCGCTGCAGCACAGCCAACAGTTCCAGTTCCAGACAGCCTGCCTTTCCCGTCGTTTACAGACAAAACCCAAGAGAAAGAAAAGAAAGACCCCAGCCACCAGATGAAAAAGTAAGAATCCCACAATAGTTAGTCGTCGTCGTAGCCGTTCCTGGAACCTGGTTGCACGCCCCGTGCCATAAGATTTTTGTTTTCGACGCCCGGTCCGTCTCCGCCCAGAGAGAAGAAGAGAAAATACAGAATGTAGAGAAGAAACAGAACAACAAAGCAGAGCGAGTCTGAGAGTCTGCGTCCATACCCTGAAAAAAAGAGACCAACGAATGACCAAGGTAGGGTGCCGCAGTACCATGCTGTGATTCCAAACATGAACCTCTCCAGACTCCTCGTCCCCTTCATGTCCCAGAGGGTAGAGCGCTCGCGCCACGTAATGTATGTAATTCTTGGTCGAGCTCCGCCCGTTGGAACCGACATGAAAACCGCAAAAACAGAAAATTGCAGACCCAAATGTGATTAACGCCGTTGTGCCGATGGATATAGTGGTCATTAAGGACATGACGATGTTCCCATCTGCTGATGAAGTCCAGGACAAAAATGGGGGGTATCAAAGATGAATGTAGTTACTGATGAAGTAATATGTGCGCGTGGTATGGTAATGGTAATGGTGGTGGTAAATCGTTGCGTCGGCCCAATCTAGGGCCGAAGTTGTCGAGCTAGCAAGCATCAAGCGAGCTCTTACTTATACTTGAGCGGGTGTTGGTGTTTGGGCGCCTCGGTCTCGAGACATCCAGCCAAAGAGGTCCGCACGGCTGCCTCCGACACCCATGATGGAGGCGGCTGAGGACTCGACGGCAGGGCGGCTGGCCGTCTCACGGGGCTCGAGCAGCAGACTCTTGCGGTAGTAGCTGACCTGCACGTTGCCCTCGTCGGTATCACGGACTTGGCTGATCTGAGACGAGATCCAGTCCTGCATGTCTGGCACCTCGGTCAGTCGGTAGGGGATCTGGAATCGCTGAAGCTCTCCAATGATCTTGGCAGTGCGGGTGTGCTTGTCAAAGTTGACAATGGTAATACCTCCAGCACCAACCTCCTCCGATTCGTGGCCAATCGACATCTGCTTAGTGGCTGGGTTGCCAATGTCGACAAATGTCAAGTCGGTCAGGTACATGCCAAGGAATGGCAGGCAAGGGGGGACGTGGTCGTGGAGACGAGTTCGCAAGACCTTGTTGTTCTGGGAAGGCTCAACAAGGGCCTGGAGGTTTCGAAGCATATCCTTGCGCTTGGTAGAGATGATATCCCAAGTCTTTCGAAGGCGGCTGATGGTGCTGCTGTTCAGGATGCAGATGATGGCCATGAGTCCATCATAGTTGTGGAGCTCAAGGCACTGGTGTGCGATCTTGATCCAGTGCTTGATGACTTGGGCGCGCTTCTTGACCTCTTGCTGCTGAAGAATGGTCTCGGCGACAAGGTTGGAGAGATCAGTCGACAGAGATGACATGGCCTTGACATTAGGGGCGTCAACGCCACCCTTCTTCATCCACTGAGAGGCAAGGAGCTCCTCGGGAAGAATGGAGCAGAAGATGGTCATCTGCTTAATGGTCAATTGACGTGCCAGCTCCAGAGGGTCAAAGTCGAGGATGCTGGGCTGAGCGACGCCCATCTTGAAAGCAGTGAGGAGGTTGAGCTGTCCCTTGGTGATGGCAGGGATAGGCAAGGGGGTCTCGGCTGGCACGTATTGCCCAATTGACGTGTTTGTCTTGCCCATTGATGAGACAAGCCGAGGCACCAGCGAACCCTCGCCTGAAACCCGCTGCGCAAGCTCATGCAGGCGTCGGCCGGCCGAAGGCAGAACAGAAGCAAGCTTAAACTCGGCAAAAGGAATGATCAGGTCCAGAGCCTGTCGGTCAGTCTCATCGCGCCAGTGGGACTCGAGCCAACCCTTGAAAGCATTGTATACTCTCAATCGGACAGGTCCAGCCACATGCGGCGAGTCGTGGACGTAATCGAATCGCTCAATGAGTGCTTCTGCCAGTCGCACCGGAGAGCAGAAAAGTCGGAAGGTAAGGTAGAAAGTTGAGACAAACATGGCGTCGGGGGTGGACTCGTGGGTGGTGAGGCGCTCAACAAGAGCGGGAAGAGAGCCGCCAGTAACTTGGCCCTCCTTGTTGAACATGAGCTCGTGAGCGAATGTCTTCTCCATGAGTCTCGACTCAACATCCACCTCCTCGGTCTGAGAAGAGCTTCCAGCATTGCTGAGGTTAGAAATGGAAGGCTGCTTGCGGGGAGCCAGAGTGTGGTCGGGTGTTGTAGCTCGGGTAGAGGACTGTGAGACGATGCTGACCTCGGAGTCTCGGCTCAGATATGTGGCGCTGCTGCCAGCGCTAGAGGCGACCATGCTCTCAAAGCGAGAGGTCGAGTTGAAGTCGTTGTCGTGGCTGGTGTTGTCGATGGGGCTAAAATCTTCACCGCTGGGCAGCAAGCTGGTGGAAAGCTTGGGAAGAGGAGGAAGCGAGGGTCGGAGAGAGGAGACGGAAGAGGCCATGCTGGACATCTGGTCGTCATTTACTGAGGAACGTCGAGAACCGGCGGGTGAAGGGTGGGCCGTCTGCTCGTCGGTGGGAGTCGTAACCTGGGGGACTTCAGGTAGCGGCTTGTCAATCGCGACAACAGTCAGTCGTCGAGGTGCGGGAGTAGAAGAGCCTGAAGTACGGTTCGACTCGGTCACGCTGGCGGTCTCGGAGGGATCAGCGACCGACGGGGTCCTGGCGCGCTCCTCCGTCTCAATCTCAATGTCGAGAATGCTTAGATCAATTCCCAGGCTGCTCGTCTCAAGCTCAAACTCAAAATCGCCAATACGCTCAATGGAAGCCTTCGCCTTGGCGACGCAGTCTCCTGCAGCTCTAACGCAGCCGGTGGCCGAAGCGAGAAGCATACTATTGTCGTGCGGCATGATCAAATCAGCCTCTTCGGATGCAGCGTTGACCAGGGTATCGCGGGCGGAGAAGACGAGGTCCTGAATTCGCTCAAACATTGTGGCACGCGCTTGGGCGAGGGCCTCGGAACTGGAGTTGATGTGGTCATAGACACCGTCGATAACAGCAAGCAGCTCACCACCGGAGAGTGCAGATTGCCGGATGGCTGAGGCGAGTTCTGGTCGGGACTGGGACTGAAGATGGAGACGGCCGATGAAGGAGCCGAGGTGGGACAGGAAGGTATCGTGACTCTTGTTCAGGCGCTCAGTGACGAGATGATGAGCTCTGGATACCGATGATGGTCCAGCAAAAGAAACTCTGTGCGAAATGCTGGCAGACAGGCGGTGAGTCTGGGCCATGCTTCCCTGGGACAACCTGTGAGAGCTCGGGCCATTGGGGGAGCAAAGAGATGAGAGGCGCTTATTCAAGATGGCCGACGTCTGGGTGCTCTCACTCGACTCAGAGGCTACGACACTTGTGGCGGCCTGGGAGTCGGTGTCGTTTACGGCGCGATGGCTTTGATCGTCAAAGGTAGATTGGTCGGCCGGCGGCGTCGGAGGAACGTACGACTCTTCGAGTACCGTATCCATGATACTGACAGCTGAAGGAGCACGCGCCCTGCGGTCCTCTTCAAGAACATCCATAAAACGGACGCCCTTTGTAACGATTCTAAAGGCCTTGAGGATCATTTCGTCGATAATATCGTTAACATCCTCGGCGGGGGCAGTCTCAAGACGCTGCGTCTCTTGTAGCCGCTTGGCAGTCTTGACCAACGATGATAGTTCGGAAAGAAGAGACTTGCGGCACTTTCGCAGAGGATCACTCCTCTGGATAAATGGCGATTCTCGGTTCAGACAATTGGTGCGCTCCTGTGCATGACGGTTAGGTACAAGGTGATTGAGTGGCGGACGAGGTTGGGGACGCCATGTAAGCGCCAGGGTAACTTACCAATAGGAATCGGACGCCAGCAATAATACCCTTCATGAACTCTTGGTTTCCAAACATCTCCCTATCATTGATAGTGGTGCTTCGAAGCAAGTCCCAAAAGTTCAAGAGGGCCTTGAGAAGGTTACACATGTCCTCGGGCTCATAGGCCTCGCAGTAATTGGTCGGTAGCCAGCCGCGGGCGCCCGAGACCAGCAGCGTGCCGTCGGCCCATCCATTGGTGTGGATTGAGTGTACCAGAATAACATCGCCCTCGTTGAGCGGTAACGTCACGCTCGAGTCGGACATGGCATAGCTGGGGTTGAAGGGGTAGAAGGCTCGCAGGAAGTTGTGGAATACGGGAGGAGGAGTGTACTGAGGTGATTGCGGCGAGAGGTCCTCCTGCGAGCCATTGGGAGTAGCGGGTGGTGTCATTTGGGATTGTGAATAAAGAGTCGTGTCGTTGTCCAAAGTCGATGAAGCATCTCCAGACGTATCGGTTCGGGCCTTGGCGATTGTTAGAGGAGCCACCTGGAGACTGGCTCGCATGGGTTGGTCGCTCAGCATTGCGATTGCCGCTGACAATCGGAGGCGTCGTTTAGATCATCGGGTAGCGTTCCGGCCGGTGGGTTTGAGCAACCACCCGAACCAAAGGTCCGTCCGTTTCTATTCTTGTATCTCCTTCCCTGGTCGAAGCAGCGCGCGTCTGTGCCTTGGTATCCAAGAGAATTGAGATTGAGATGATGCAGCTGGCCGAGTCGGATGCGGGTGATCGATTTGTGGTTGTAGTTGTAGTTGTAATGGTGTAAGTCGTGCTGAGGTTTACACTGGGCCGCGGGTGAGGAAGGATTGAACCACGGAAACAGGCAGGAACGAACTCGAGGGAGGATGCTCGGTCTGGTTGGCTAGACAAGAAAAGTCAGTCACCTGGGAGTTGGATTTGTGATTGTTGTGTTTCTGCAGGAAACACTACAGGAAGCATTTGGAATGAAGGGAGAAGGCGTCGGGTGGGCTGGAGGGGGTAATGGGTATGTAGCTGTCAAGGAATGCCAGGATCGCAGGGGGGGGGCGCAGAAGACACTGCAAGACTTGCAGGCGGCGTTCGTAAGGCGTTGCAAAGACGTTTTTAGAGGGGCGTTGCAAAAAAGACGTTGTGTGCACCGGACTCAACTCGGCTGCGGAGACGGTCCAACTCTGTCTGTTTGTCTTGTCTTGTTTTGTCTGTCTCTCCCTCTCCTTCTTTCCAAAAAGCAAAGCCTGGGCCACAAGTCGATGTGCTGGACAATTGCGCCCCTCGGCTCACCCACGGACTCAAAGCTAAAGCACGGTCTCGTTTCGCCTGAATGGTGCGTCTGTCTTCGATATATGATGCGTTTCTGTGCGTCCCGGTGCCAGATGGATGCTTGAACGTCTGTGTTCGTGCATAGCCAGTGGTCGTGCGTACATGCGTAGTTGTGGGGGGAGGGCAGATGGGATGATGTGGTGTAGTGCAATCAATGTGTTGCATTGACTTGACTGAGACTGTCAAGTTGCTTTGACTGCTGGCTTACCTTTTGATGGCAAAAGAAAAGAACCACGTTTTCCAATCCAAAGAGAAGCAGTCGTCGTTGTCGTTTGTTGTGTCGATTGAGTGAGTGACTCAAGAGGTTGTCGAAGAGACCAAGAGTTGATGGAATGAGAGAACCCGAATTAGGTGACAGGGGGTGGGTTCGAAGCAAAGGTTGGTCAGTCTGCGACGAGAGCTCGATAAAGCGAAGGTCGATGAGGATGGATGATTAGTCGAGAGTAATGGATGGTGTCGAAAGATTTGAGTTGAGTCGAGTGGAGATGTCCAAGCCCAAGCACACACAAGTCGAAGCTGAGTGAGTGAAGTTGTACGAGACGAGTCGAGGTCGGGTCGAGGGGAAGAGATGGGAAAAAAGAGATACCACACGCAACGTCGGGGTCTGGGGGAATGCGGTGGTGTTATCACCTTACTCGGTACCCTTCTGGTGGTCTTGATTGCCAGTGGCTCTGGTACTCTTCTGGGTGTCTTCTTCTCTTGGTGGCCACACCCACGCCTTTCGTCGCCGAGCCCAGGGGGCCCAGCATGTCCCAAGTGGGAGTCCCAAGTCCCAGGGGGTGGAGGAGTAACGGACGGGTCAGAGTGGGTTTGCATCCAGGGCAAGGTCGACGGGAAGATAACCCCACGCCCCCTTGAGTTCTCTCTGCTGCAGGGGCTCCATGCTGGATGGCAGAACGAGGCAGAGAAAAGATGGTGGTGATAGGTAGCGCTGGATGCCCGCAAATGCCCAAGCTCCCACCAGACGGGAGGGAGTGTGTCCTCGGTGGGGGGCACAACCAACCGACCAGACCAGCCCAGCAGTGGAGTCCCCAGGGGCAGCCGCTAGAAAGGAGCTAGCTCCTCCATGGGCCCCCTGTCCCTGGGCTGCTAGTGTTCAGGGGACAAGGGCTTCGAGGACCCAGGGACCCGGCAAGCGGCCAAGGGAAGCTCTCAAGGCCAAGATGTGATCCTGAGCGAGGACGAGGATAGAGCAAGGCGTGGATGGACCCCTTTCCGTGCTCCAGTTGAACGGATTGACGAGCTCAGGTGTGTGTCTGTGTGTAGGTTGGTGTCTAAACCATCAACCTCCAAGGGAGAATAGCTGCGCGGTACATCTCTCAAGGGCGTCATATCATCATGCACGCACAGTAGATAGATGCAGCCCAGAAAAAGAGTAATCCACAAGCAGAGCTGCTCGCAAGATATGCGATGGTGTAAGGACTGATCACACAGCACCTCCCGTACCAAATGACGATTGGATCCGTCACAGGGATGTTTGGTTCCACCCCGTGAGCTCTCTCTTGTCGTCGTAGCCCAGCCTGCACAGGACATGTGCTGGGTTGCCGCCTTCGCACGTCTTCCTAGTGGACGGTCTCTGGGCTGCTTCATTCGACTGTCCATCTCGCAGAGCTTCTCTCTGGACGAGCTTTAATGGAACCGGGAAATTTGGGCGGCTTTCTCATCAGCTCGTAGCCAACCTGATAGCTGGAGCGGCCGGGGTGGTTGATAGCTTCATCACGGGGAACTTCTCTAGCTCGTGTCCTAGGGTAACGGACTCTCGGATTGGATGCCACCATCGCTCGCGGCAGCTTGCAGCGCTTCCCCCAAGGTTGCCTGCGAACGGGATACTACTCCCCAGACTGCTTGTTGAAAAGGCCATTTTCAGGCCAGGAACTCATCGGCCACCATCCGGGCCCATGGCCGCCATCTGCCATCTGCCACGCGCAGCTCAAGCGTTGGGCGTCGGACCCTGCCTGATGTCGTCAGTCTTCGTCAGAAACTCCCAAGACCCATACCTCGAGCGAACCTGAAGAGGTGATGATCGCTTCTGATACCGGGTAGCTTGGGTAAAACTCGTTCACCTCCACTTGAGAATATGCGCAGACCGCAGTAAGCAGGGCAGTTCCAAAGAGAATCATTCGGAAAGAGATCGACTCGTGCGACCAACTCCCTCGTATTGGTTCTCCTGTCTCTTGCTCCCTTCCACTAGTCGTGCTCTAGCTTGCTTGTTCCTGAGTTGGCCTGCAGACAAGCTGCTGCAAGATGCACAAACCAATGCCTTCTCCTGCGTCTCGCTTCAGCACCCTGACGGGGCCACACTGCCTTTGCTGCGATCTGACGATACCTCAAGGGTATCTGACGCTTTCATCGCGCCTGGGCCCTTCAAGTCGAGGGCTAACCCCTCCGCTTTGGCTACACCGCACTGAGGACTGGTGACCCGGGATGCTGATGATCGTCCAAACCTACACAGCCCTGGTGAGATGTCATCGCCTGTTGACTGCCGGACGGGAAAAACCACGAGGATCTGCTTGGTGGAACCGTCATCACCGTCACCGTCGCCGTCCCCTATCCTGAGCATCAGCAACGAGGCCATGTCCCAGCCACGAGACCTCTCAGCCGCAAGCTATTGCTGTCACCGTCTATCCGCCAAGTGAGCCCGCGCTCAGCATGGACCAGCAGCAACAACAAGCCCGGACCTTACCATCATCGAGAGCAATCAATCATGACTGACTCCTGTCCTTCCCTCCCTGCATGGTGAGTGCTTTGGCCATGGCGGATCGATCTGCCCCCGGTTTTGGAATATGCAAGACAGACTCGAGACACGGAGTCAGATCCAACACAGCCAAAAACCAGCGAGGACGCTCCCGTTGGCCGTCCGTCTCCGTCTCCGACTCCGCGGCCGATTTGGAACGTCACGTCGGCGCTTCTCTAGCCGTTGGGTCTCTGTCACAAAAGCAAACGAGGCTGGCCGAGTTGCGAATTTCCCCATATTGTTTGATCGTCGTCATTTGAACCGCCGCTGAGTCGCGTCCCCGCCGTCGACCGTCTAGACGGCTCCGAGACTGCCTCGAGTGCTTCCATCCACCGGTGGCCCAAATTTTAGCCTGCCATCCGGCGCAAAGTTAACCGCACCGCGCTGTTGTGGTCTTGAAATGGCGCAACAGGCGGACGTTGCACCCCTTTCTTCTGTCCTTCTACGCATGGTTCTGGTGCGCCAGGCGGGCTGTCTCCCAGGTCCTCGGCGTCATTGGAGCCATGAGCCAAGATTGCTTCTCATCTCACTTCCCCAGCCGTCCAAACACGATCCGGCCGGGCCACGTTTGACCATGGCCCGTCTCAGTTCTCCTTGAAATGACTCTGTTTCTGTCATGCTTCTGTCATGCGCTAGTTGGATTTGCTCCGAGAAACAGGGTCTCTGATCAGATAGAAAACATGTCCGGTGCACGCTTGTAGATGACTTGTGAGAGATGGTTCAGGATGGGATGAGCTGGGCTGTGTTGGCCGCCCGGAGGCATTGCTGGAGAAGGCTCGTGCAAGATATAATGAATGATATTGATAAATCTCCTCCACGGCGCCGCCACGGGAGAAACGCCCAAACCGATAACCGTACTCTGAGGGCGTCGAGACTCACCGGATGCTCTAGATCAACGGCCGACAACGCGATGTGGCGTTTGACGTTGACGTTTCCAATTGCTGTCGGGTGGGCAGTGACGGCATTGATGGACTGCCAGCTTCCGGGCACCCCCCAGGGCGCAGGCCCACCCGCACCTTCTTGCTCAGGCCTTCTAGATTCTGGTTCTGAAGTACCTGCCTCAGGCTCTAACGTTACTCCCTACGACCCCTAGGACCGTTTCTGGGTTGGTTCGGGCAACGCTCTGTCAACAAGCAGGCATCTTTTCTGCTATGACCTGGACTGCCACGCAAATTGTTCAAGCTCGGGCAATCAATTTACAAGATGCCAATCATCCAGAACCCGCATCATCGCGTGGTGCCGTATCACCTGGAGAACCGTGCCCAAGTCACGTTTGGAGAGCAGAGCCACCAATTGCAGCTGTACTGTTCGGACTCTCGCCGTCAATGGCCTGCCCTCCAGCAAGGATGACCCTTTGCC